GGTCCTCTATCTCGCGCACGTGCTGCTTTTCATCTAGATTGTGATTCAAATCTGGATATGAATGATCTCGTGGACTTCTTGAAAAGTCTTGTCATGACAACTACACAGATCGACAAGAAGTATCGGGAAACAATTCCGGACCTAATTTCTAAAATGAAACCCATGTTCCAAGACTCTGATGTTGAACAAGGTAATGCGAAGACTAAGAAGCGGAAGACTAGGAAGATGAAGCTTGGCAAAAACGGCCTATATCCGATGGAGCATGAACATATTCAAAAGTGGTGGAGTGCTCGCAAGCCTGAGTTTAAGGACGATGAAGCAATGACAACAACTGAACCGCCGGAGACTAAACTTCAAGTAGCCTGGTTGCGTTCGAGGGAGACGCAATTGCAAATGATCATCATTCTCGAAATCTTAGCATTAGAACCATTAGTTCCGTCTCAAAGTAACCGGGATTCACAACTACCGGGCCTACCTCTCGAAGAGCTTCCTGCTGAAGCACTCAAGGATAACTCTACGAGGAAACGCAGTCGACATAACTTACCGTCTCTCGTCGATGTTCATGCGGACCGATTATGCATTTGGCAATCTACTGCGTTAGATGAGGTTAAATTGCCAGATGACACCCAGTCGAGCGCGCAGTTGGAGACGCAGAAGTCCTCGAGGGCTACATCAGACCCGTTGAAAGATTTCTGTGTCGATATCATCGTACCATTGTAAGAAGGCTCCCTTGATATGTGAAAAATCATTAATCGCTAACATTTACCAAAAGCTTCTCTGCAAGATTACCGGAAAAGTGTGATTCGATCAACCGTAAGCTAGGTGGGCCAGTTATGATGCCGCCATCGAAACCTAAGTCGAGAAACCTGGAAGACTCGGAGTCGGTTGTGAAATCTAAGTCGAAATCTAGCTCCGCAACGAAGCGTCCAACGTCTAAACCATCTAAGACACTTGAGAGTGTTCTTTCCAAGGAGACCGAGAAGCATCGTCGAAGCATGTCGCGCGGCCCAAGCGGAGTGATAGCATTGATGAGATCTGCTTCTACTTCCATGTTGAAGCGAGAAGCCAGCGAGCCATTATCTATCTCGAACATTCCCAAAGCAGACTCTATTACATCTAAAGACAGTACATCGCGTGCGCCTACATTGGTGCCCATCAAACGAAGATCAGAGGGGGAGAGGGCAAAGAAGGACGCTTTAGTTAAGGCAGAATTGCATGATGCGATATCTGCCCTTAGGCGTCCTAATAGGGACGTTGTCGGTAAGGCCATGGCCGAAGCAGATGAGAGACGTGCTACTACTAGTCTCTCACAACTAAAGAGTAAGTGGATGTTGATTCCGCTTTACTTCCTACTTCTATATGATGTTAACCTGCCCATAGAATCACGAAAGCCGACTCAACACAAACCTCCCGACGTGGTCAAGGCAACTCCTATTGGAAAGCGTTTCAAGGATGTACTAGGCATGAGCGCCAGCAATCAGCCAAGTCGTTCTCGAATTATGGGGCCCGCTGAACCAAGTAGTACACCCTCATCTTCCTTAATTCCTTCTTCGGCGCCAAGGAAACGCACTCACGAGGCAGCATTTACCCTCGATAAATTCCAAACCTCTCCTCGTTCGAAACCCTCAGCAGATCAGGTTCAGGCAACCCCTGCTAGACTTTCGACCCTTAGGCAGAGCTCTCTCCTTTTCCCCGAGGTCGATGAAACGGATATTCTTGCATCATCACCTATCATGGCTCGGAAAGTGTCCATGGTGTCCTTCCGCGACAGCGGGATTGAAATGCCTAGTTCCCCGCCTGGTGCACTCGCAGAAACTCCAGTTAAGCCTCGCACTGCACCCATTCCATTAAAAGGGCTCGTGGCAGCCACACCAATTAAACGGAGGATTCTTGATAAAGATGTTGCAAATATCGCCGATACTAGGAATTCTACTACCGAGAATGTGAAGGAGCCCGAGAGGAAGGTTTCGATTTTTGAACGGTTGGGTTGGGATGACGATTTTGACGAACTTGGTTAAGGGGTTCTCGTATGTACCGGATGATTCAACGCCACTCGTTGATGGACTTGGAGGCAAGTCGGATTTCAAAGCTCATGTAAGCAGTGGCATGACTAATGACGAAAGACGAAACGATATGACCGCATCAGAGGCGTTTAGATAAAGCAGCATTTCGAAGCATTACATACTAGGAGAGCGCACAGAGCTAATGATATACTTAATAGAATCATAAACTGTCTTTTACACTACTAGGCCCCTAAGTCTAAGAATAACATATAAGATATAGATATCTACTTGCTGGGAGTAGTCTCGAGTGATGATCAATAGCATACGATGGTTGTGTGTAGTAGCCCTATAACCATACGCCAGAGGGTTTCAATACGGGCGGCTGATAAGAAAGGCATTTTCGGTAGGATACTCAACTAGCATGCATGGGTGCGGCGTGTAAGTCCAGGCTCGATCGATCGTGTCGAGGCAAGGCTGCCTTCAAGTAGGATCAAGACTCCGGTTACCGACAGGACCCTACTAAAGCAACATACATTCCAGAGCTAACTTGCATGAGGAAAATAGGGTTACCTTGCAGGGTGACTTGAGGCTCGGAACGATAATGGAATATAAAAACCGGAAGCCTCGGAAGTAGTTTCTTGAGTCTTGTCCCGGATGGGGCCAATACCGAATGTAACGCCTCCTTAAGCAAATCAAAGGAGCATTTTAGCTAGGGCTAAGTTACATCCATAGTGTTCATCGATTGATACAATTTCTTAGGACTTGGACGAACTAAGTCTAGGACTATCTTATAGTATTTCTTGACTTGAAAAGTCCAAGTACGACGACAGCAGAGGCTGTGAAGATAGACTTCGAAGTAAGGCTACGGGGGATCGACGATTGTTATTTGATTATAACCCTAGCACAACGCAGGCTATTAACGTCGCCGCGTAACACGTTTTGGTAATCTAATCATTACGATTCGAGCAAAGTAGAAAGCTACCACACCGTTTTATAAAGATGTAGTGCATTTAGCTCCGAACGCCTTACCATCGAGCCTTGCCGTCAAAGCATGAGGGGTGGTGTCCGATGTATTATAATAACACTGCGCTTTCCGATGGATTTACCTGCCGACGTTCAAGCCAAATATCTAAGGTGTATATATGCAGATACATATGTCACAGTTGTCCCTGAAGACCTCCCACGTGGTTGATCGCGAAGATCTGTATGGCTAGGTTGGACGATCCAGACTATGCGATGTAAGCACTGACTACTGCAGGCATATCTATCTAATGGGCTAGGTTTGCCCCGAAGGATCGTTCCGCCCTGCGTGCTCCCAGTCTACGTCTCCCATTATTGATGTGCCTGCATGCACTCACTCTAAAATGGTATACCTGTATGCACCGTTATGTGTTTCATATGTACGAACTCGACGCTTAGATAATTTACAACTTATTTAAGTAGGTATCTATCGCCGTGGTTTCGTGCGTTTATATTAAGGCAAGGTAAAGTGGTGATGTCACTTAGGTACGTATGGACGTGTTAGTAGCTGGTTAGCAAACGGCTTGGCTTCCTGTAAGGTACTTGCTTCGCCATAACGACAGTCGTATTCTATTTATGCGGAACTATATAATCAAGGCTGATTTACTTATCTTTTGACCATATACTAGATATATCTCAGCTAGTTCACTTGTACATTCGGCGCCGGAATACTACGAAGAGTGCAAGTAGAGGTGTGCTTATGAAGGCAATACCTGAGGATGAAAACACCACCTGAACTGTAAGGAGTTATATCATAGAGTAACACAACGCTGACTCCTCTTGGCGGCCGCTAAGCTTGCTTTTATTAGATATCCTATACATATACATATCCTACGTGCGAATAGATGGGTAGGAAATACGCCTCAAGTCTTATATGTAGCCAAATCCTTTAGGTCATCGTGCGGCACTACAATACCTTATAAGCGCTCTAGGTGGCTCTTCCATTTATCTAGCCTACATGATTGTCTCTATATTCTTGTTTGATATGGAAGGCTATCCATAGTCCAAGTACTTGTCTATTAGGATTTTCAGTCATGCCCGTATATTACCTATCGCAAAACATACAGGTCCGACACTTCCTTGAATTAAGTATGGAAACTACGGCGAGTCTTTAAGATATATAACGCTACTTCTATTTAACTCATCGAGTATACGCACAACTCGTCTGGATGAAAAGGAACTGCATAAGAGATCTATGCTAAAATGGGATTTGAAATCTCCAAGGATTCTCACCAAACAGCTGCTTTTATCGTATTCCTCATTACAGCACCGATTTGTGTCGCAGCTACTGCCCTCCGCTTTATAGCTACAAGACGAAATAGACGTAGAATTGGATGGGAAGACTGGTTTGCTCTACTAGCTTTGATATTTTACTTGATATATGTTGCCTTGCTACTTTGCCCGAGTTTACGAGGGGTTATTGTGTCGAATTTTTTCCATGGCCCAAATAGGAAAGTAACTCAATGGGCAGTATCTGGCACGTGCACCACTTTTTAAGCGGTTTGATTGGGTGCACGACCTGTATATGTGGGGCATGGCTTGGCATTTTCGTCGAAACCAGCTCCAAAGGCTAAAATAGCTTTGATTGGGTGCATCATTATATTATATGGGCTTTGGAAAGATAAGATAACAACACCACGTGACCACATATGTAGCCACATACGTAGCCGCACGTGATCTGACCACATGACCTGGCGATAGGCCACCAAAAACAAAAGGGATAGACTTTCGCTTACGCTTTCGCTTTCGCTTTCGATAGAGGCAAAGGCAGCGGCGCGAAGCGCCGCTGACTTTGCCTGTTAAGTCATGCGTTAATTAAAAAAACAAATAAAGGTGCGAGGTTGAGGAATCGAACCTAGGGCCTAGGAAGGTGTGGCCGGGATAACTTCGGGACTATACATAGTATAGCTAGGTGATTACGTAAGGGTTGTTACGTAAACTCGGGCTATTGTGCAGCCCCCGGGGGTTGCCTCCTGTATGGTGAGTTGCCGTATACGATGCTCTCTATGACAGTAGATTGTTTCTAACGCTTATCATTTTTCTTAGTTCTCGTCACCCTCAATGGGAGAAACCCCTTTAAACCTGGGGCTATATCTAAAGAGGAATTCTATAACATAGAAGTTGTAAGTTTACATATTTCCCTTCTCTTGATAATAGTATTTCAGGAGGGGAGTTTGACTAAACAAAGTTCAATTAACTCTGAACATCACTTTAGGCAATATACGTATTAGTTGCTCAATTCTGCCTTCAGCAGCTATTCGCCAAATTCAGCCTCCTATTCCTGTACTATCGCTTCTTCTCTCGTCGGCGATCATTTGTCATCTGGGTCTGGATCGTCGGTACTATTCAATTGCTCTGGTCTATCGCAACATACCTAGTCCACTATTTTGTTTGCATACCCCCGAAGAAGGCATGGACTCCGACAGCTCCAGGCCACTGCATCAATAATCCGGCATTTCTCGCTGGCGGAGAGAGCATTAACTCGCTACTTGACTTTGGTCTGGTCGGTATGGCTATTTGGATGGTTCAAGCTTTGCATATGAAGACAGTAGTCAAGATACAGCTGTGCTTCTTATTCGCGTTAGGGGGGCTGTGAGTGCCTAAGCTATAGCTTTGCCGAGCTTTGCCGTTGACCACTGACATGAACATATAGGGCTGGAGTTTTCGGTTTCGTCAAGATTGCCCAGGCCTTTGGCAACAGCTGTAAGTATTCGAATGTATTGGGATCAAATTACCTAAGTTTATTATTAATCGAATCCCTTACAGATGTGAATAATATCCTCGACGCAATATGGGCAACTATCCAGCAAGCATGCGGTGTCATCTGCTGTTGCGCACCTATGTGTAGATCCCTTCTTCCCAGACTTAGTCTATACGAAAGATTTAGGATACTCAGTACCCGGGTGTTCAGCACTAGGACCGAAGACCATCAAAGACCTAGTCAGACGTCGAACCTGAACGAAACCCCAGAAAAGGGGGCCGGTGAGAATTGGCGCCCTACGGAAAGCTGGATCCGACTTGAGAGTAACGATCAATCAAGCACTCGCGAACTGGCCGTGATGGAAACGCCGCACGAACCTCCGCCTACGTATATCTCGCACGTCTAAGAATATGTTTACTGTCGTTTACCTATGTCTATGTTTTTAGTAGAAGGATGAATCTATTCTAACCCCTGACTCAAGCATCTTAACGTCTTAGAATACTCTAAAACCGGTCTCCTTGGGTATTTACCTATGTATTGCTGTGCGTTTATACGTCAAGACCTGGTAAGGAAAGCTAGATATGGGAATTTAATGAATCATATCAACGGCGTCGATCTTACTCTCTAAAGAACAGGATTTTACGAGGATTAAAACTAGATGTACGTCGTTATTAGAATGCCCAATAGTGCAAAAAGCCGTATCTCGAGCGAAGACTCTCGTTCATCTGATGCACTCATATATTCGTATCGTGAGGACACTAATCAGACCCGGCCTAGCACAAGAAACTTTAGGTTCGTAATTGCTAGCTCTACATAAATATATTACCATATCAAGTACAATTGTAAGGATGCGACTGTATGTAGGTAGTCATATAAGTGGCGATTATATCAAATATCTACCTACCTACATATAAATCAATAGTAAAGCTTATTGATGATCTCTTCCGAGTTGATAAAAGCGCATCTCTCCTTTAGCTTCTGTGCGGCTATTTCGGGTCTGGATCCAGGACCGTCAGTGGCCGAGAAACCCTCGCTTGGCCCTCCCGCAACGAATACCGAGAACGTCCCATCGGCATCGCCTTGGCCACCCACAGGAAAAGAGGGCGCGAATCCTTCGAACGTGTCGTGGCCCTTAAGGCCTGGGACTCCGCGGCTCGTGAATGTCGACCATGACCGCGAGCCACGGCTCACAAGGCTATAATCTTCGGGGGTGGGATTGAACGGGTAGTTAGAGACGTTGTAGTGTGATATGTTCCCGAAAATGTATGCGAACTCGGACGTGTGGATGGGGCCTAACCCCGACACACCATATGCGTATTCTAAGATGGGATCTAGGATCGTCTGATTCCAGTCGTACAGATAGACGCTATTGCCCTTGGCCGCGAGCGCGGCTCCATAGTATACCGGCTCGCATACCATTAGGATATCCCGAAAGATGCGCGCTGTACGGTAGAATTCACTTGACAGGTTAGCTGTCGGATCGGCGGCGAATTCGGAAGATGGATATAATGAAAGTAGCTCGTCAATATTGGCGTCGCTCACGGAAGAGATATATGTCTGGATAAAACTGCGAGTGTCCTGCGGGGTGGAGATGCCGGTGTCTGTAAATATGGTTAGATCGTTCTCGCACCAGCCCATCATGACCGTTACGTTGGCGAATCTCCCTTCGGCTATAAGTTGGGACGGTGGAGCGGGAAGAAAATCGCCATCGACGACTGGTAACCAGACGTCGCCGATATTGTGGGCGATGTCGGATTGGAGCGTCGCCGCTGATGCATTCAAGAGAGTATCCATGTCTAGATCCCGTAAACACGCTACCGTCTCTGGCGAATGTAGAGCACTCGTGTTGCAACTAACATAATCCACGACGAGCTGTAAGGCATCGATAGTGAAATTTGCTGTGATGCCCGGCTCTAGGGCTTGGCTTTCGCATATTCCCTGCTGGAACGGAGCTGGCTTGCTTCCACCATAAGCCATAATCTGCATGCCGACAGCGAGGCCTGTATTATCTGATTAGAAAGGGGGGCGGATAATAAACTCGAGGGCGACTTACCTCCAGATGATTGCCCATGGATGGTGATCTTCTCAGGATCGCCGCCGAAGTACTCGATATTATCGCGAACCCACTCAATAGCGAGCCGCTGGTCTCTCAACCCGGCGTTCTCGGAACCCTCGGCCTCAAGAGCATTGGATTGTGCGAATCCAAAGACTGGACATGGTTACATTAATATCGGTTATGTCTCACCTGGTTTACTAGGGACGTGTGTTACTTACCCCCGAGACGATAGTTCATCGCTACGTGAATGATGGGAAGTCCGTTTGCGACGGACTCAAGGATCATGCCATCGGGCGCAGTAGTGATCTCCCGGTTCTGGCCCGACCAAAAGCCGCCGCCATAAATCCAGACTAGAACCGGAAGCCGGTCCCCGGCGCGCAGGCACTTAGGTCGGATCACATTTAAGTTCAGGCAGTCTTCCGATATCTCGGTCGTGTTAGTAAATCCTAGCGGGAGGATGTCATTTCCCAGGGGTTGGGGACACGCGGGGCCATAAGATACAGCGTCGATTATGCTACCTGACTCTGGCACGAAGGCTCGCGGGGGCTTGAATCGGTTCGGGCCGCTCGTGTCTTGTCCGTACGGGATATTCAGGAACGCCTCGACACCATTTCGATTGAACCCTCGATACGTAACATTATTCTTGGTGTCGACTACTTGCGGATTGCCGGCGGCTGTAACAGTGTCACGGCCTAGCAGCAACGCGCCGAAAAAGGAAAATGGTCGCATGATTCCTCCGCTGGTTATAGAAGCCTGCGTGCCTAGATAATTTTCTAGAAACGTAGAAGAGAGACCTTTTTATTCATTGTTTACGATATCGGTAAGCCACCCAAGATAAGAAGGCACCTAAGCGACGCGACGAGCTGAAATTCAATGATATTGCATGCTGTCGTCAGCATATCGAACGATCTAGACCTTATGTAGGACATTGTGGCTTTCTTCCTTTACCAAACGCGATTATATCGTAGACATGCACCAATTAGCATACGAAATACGAATGCAGAAATAAGCATAACAAGACTGAACTAACCGGAATTATAGCACGTGCTTTTTAATATAAAAATTGCAATTAGTCATGCTGTTTGACTTAATCATCAAGTTTTCGTCATAACGATCTGTTGAGGATTACATAACTCAACTCACCAGACAGTATTTCATATATTGCATTTCCCCTCCATCTCAATCTTCTTCCCTTAGCTAAACAACTATTTGTTTACATAAGTCGTAATCGCTTCGGCTGGTTGGGAAAAATGGATTTCAGACTTGAACTGCAAGAGGATCCGGCACGATCATTGGATAGGTATTTCCCGTCCATGTTCTTAGATCCGTAATACCATTTGAATGGTCTCGTGTCTCAGCGAGGTCTCAATTCACGTGCTCCAGTTCGCATCGTGGCAAGGGTCGAGGTTGACTTGAGATTCTCAAGTTGAGAATAGAGCCAACCAATGGCTTCATCTCATCAGACGCGGAAAGAAGGAGATATAAGACGCCGATGAGACTGTGGGGCTTGTCAATGAGTTCTTCAAGTTCGAAAGGACCTGCCGACCAGGACTTCGCCAGGATCAGGAAGGTTGTGAAAGCCGAGACGAGACTTAGATGTCGTACATGGGGGATGGGGGATGGGGGATGGACTGCACAGGCCAATCCACCATAGCACGTTGCTTCATTCTCGTCTCTGATTGGCTCCTCATTAACTTCAACCAATGTCAGAGCTCTAATTGATCGCGTGCCTCGAGTCGACACCTTTCAATGCTTCGACGACCTTTATGAAACTTTTCGCCATGTCCAACATACATCCAGACTCTGACCCCTCCCCAAGTTACCTTTTTATGATCGGAAGCAGGACCTCATCGTCATCTTCATTATTCTCTCCTTTAACCTCTTGCCATGATTCTATGAGCAAGGGAGAGTTTCTCCTTATCGCGGCAAACATCCCTTGTTGCCTTACACCTACGTGACGGCCCGGCCTAGCCATTATTCACGGCGGCACCCGACTTTCGAATTTGAAACCGGGTCTTTAACCGAGCTAGAAATTGAATTGTAAATACATTCTGCTTCGGCTGGCAGGCTTTCGAACGCTGTGTCTAAGATAACATTGTATCAACCCGCCTTGTCGTGTGACCATTTGGAGAAGTCATTCATTAGGCCCTCATTCAGAATGACGCGCCTAAAGATGCCGCCAACGCCGGCGTCCTCCACCGAGATCAAGGGCCAGGACCATTCACATCAGCTCTCTACTTTACAGATGTCTTTTGAGCTGCCTCCATCGGCTATAGGGCCAAATGCGAAGTCCCAGCAACCCAATTCTGGAGCTAACACTTCACCTGTATCGCCATCGCCATCTACTAAGACGACCTACCCGGTCCAACCAAGCGAGACAGTCAAGTCGAGAAGACGCTCGTCTGCCGCGCAAAAGGAGACATTTGCTTTGCCTCCTCCGCCGACGAGATCCCGCAGGATCATTCAGATGAAGCCCCATCCCCAGGAAGAGCCGGTTGAGCAGCCTTCCCCAGATAAAACGGCACCTGCCACCACCGGCAAGAGTGCCGCCGGTACCGGGTCTAAGAAGAAACAGCCGTCAGCAACTAGCGCCGCGGGGAGGAAGATTGCTAGGAAGACGGCCCATAGTTTGATTGAACGCCGTCGGAGATCTAAGATGAATGAGGAGTTCGCAGTGCTTAAGGGTTTGATACCCGCTTGCACCGGCGAGATGCACAAGCTGGCTATCCTTCAGGTACGTCCGTTTAAAGATATTACCTAGATTATAACAATATTCCGTACTAATCTTTGCTCTTTCAGGCTTCTATCGAATATGTGCGATACCTCGAAGATTGTATTACCAAGTTAAAGGAGCAACGCGATGATCAATCGGCCACACCAGCCCCATCCCAGTTCAAGCTGACTCCGTCAAATGATGTTGACGCATATGATATGGACGAGGATAATGATGACGAGGAAGGTCAAGACGATGTTGAAATGACGGGTTCGGAAGCGCCGTCACCTGTCTATGCGCAGACTCCTGTGCGCTCTAATCAATCGTCTATATCGCCGGCGCTAGTAGCACAAGACGCTCGAGGTAGACATCACTCCTACTCGTCTATCTCCACCGAGTATCGCCATTACAGTTATAGTGGGCCGTCTAATAATACCTCTCCGGCCTTTGGTCCTCAGGGGTATCCACAACATATGGGGACCGCATCTACGTCACATTCGACCCTCACTAGTCCGGCTCTAAGACCCCAGCAGGAGATAGATCAGGAAGCCTCTGCGGCACTTCTGATGCTTAATGTGGATCGTAGGGGGATGGCTAGCAGTGGTTCGGGACGAGGTATGAGCGTCAAGGATCTACTCAGCTCATAAGCCATATCGATTGTGGCTTGGTGTGACTGTATATTATACTTCAACAGTCTACTCCAGGGCGCGAGTTTAAGTCAATTGAGTGTAGGTTTGGGTTTGATCGGCTGGGTTGGTGCGGTTGTCTGTATTTACATTTGCATTAGCGGAAACTGGGGGCCTATGTACACGTCGGGTATTGAGGGTACGGCATAGATACTAAAAATCGCAAAGGGTATACTGTGCTAGGGTCGTTATGTTGTTTGATAGATTGGGTTGCTATATTCTACGGTAGTATGCCAAAGAAGCAGATATACAACTCACCAGGATCTTCAACAATATTTGTGGAGATAATTACTTGAAATAGTTAATAAGTATTAGCATAACTTATTTATTATGGTAAATACAAGACGGGTTGAAGTTTCTGGCTTAATCTTTGCCTAAATAGGTAATTGTTGATGATAAAGCTCGTCTAGAAACCACGAGATTCATCTGAAGTTGTATCTTGCCATAGTAATTCGAGTGTGCTGATACTTCGCTTCTTTGGGTAAAATCTCCACTTATATTGTTGAAGATCCTGGTGAGTTGTACTTTACAAGGCATATGTCAACGCGTATGTACTGTCTAACAGGATGAGGGCAGAATATATATTGCCTGTTATATATATTAAGCAATCCTTTAAGCTCGGGTATCTTCACGAGGTTGCTGGTCGACTATTGTGGGAGAAATAATAGTTATTGTAGAATAGAGCAGAAGCTCCAAGTGTATTTGTAGGGTTACATGAGAAAGTTATTGTAAGTACGCTAATATTTGAACTGATAAATATAGGTACGTATTGTCCCGTGATGTATGAATATGCCATGTCATTCCCAAGTCCAATAAACTAGGCACGAGGTGGTGTGAAATATATCGTGTTCTCTATTCGTGCCCCCTTTATTAGGAGGTATGCATCAAAGTAGGTACCTACCCAGCCGGAATAACCTTACTTGTATCTTCTTCTCGCCCCCTCAGCCAGTTGCCTCTAGTGAATGTGTCATCCCAGATTTGACAAGCAGTTCCAGTTGTCTGGCGGACCGGTCCCTACCTGTTACCTAGCAACGAAGTCGAACTTATAACTGCCAATACAGCACCTTCCTTCCATCTCTTATCAGCCGCCGCCTAGGTTCAACATGGTCGTGGCCTAGCGGTTGTTGAGGTGGAGCTAGAAATAATCCCTCGAGGGGTTTTTCGCGAGGCTTTGGGTTCGAGCTGCTGGCAGGGCGGCAGGTAGACCAACTGTTCGGGTCAAATGCGGTGGTTCGGATTCTGGGTCTTAGCTTTTTTGTTGGTTTTGGCTTTTGGCTTTCTTATTTTGAAGAACTCTTTTTTTTCTGTGCGTCTAACAACACAATCGCGAGGAGCGTTAGATGGTGTAGAGGCTTGATTAATAGGTAGGTAGGTACAAATAGCATCGCTCTAGACATTTATCGTTTCTCGTGTTTATTTAAGCTAATTACAACTCGTAAATTATATTTTAGTTAGCGAATCCTTAGGAATTGCCAACAGTCGGTGGTTACCTACCCCTTTTTGAAAAGGGGTAAAAAGACTTCGCCTCGAGGTTATAGAAACTCGACACTTAGTCCTTGTCAGGAGCCCTAGCTGTTACAAAATAATAGGGTCGGAATGAGTTCTAGCGAGAGGAGGCCTATCATCTATCATACCCAAGACACGTATGAATGTCACGCTAGACATGTTACCCCTTATTGAGAATATTAATAGTTTAATATAGTAGTAATATTGGGTGATGTTAACTATAGGTAATAGACATTTCAGCGGAACCGTCTTAGTCCCTTATTATAAGCTACTAGGAATCTTTTCATTGCAGTGAATACTCTTGTCACAGCCCGAGTCTTATAGTGCGGAAGTAACAATATCGCGTGAGCACTCATAAAACTTATTAACTAGAGATTGCGGCTATAAAGATGACTATTCTTGGCAGACCTCTTGATGCACTTTAATACCGGTATATTTCTGGTCACTGTTTATTGTGATTCGTAGGTTTGGTCTAAAGACCTCTTTGACGTAACCCTTTAAAATTAGGTGGACACAACAACTTTGGAAAGGGTTTCATGAAGTACATCTTAGTGTTATAAACGTGGAGAGTTGCCGCTACTGACAACGATGATGTTCTCTAATATTAAGGCCTTTGATAAATTCAATCTCTTGTGCTCGCGGCATAACTGGGACCTAAGGTCTTACAGGAATCCAGACCGGTAACTTATCTTCACTACATCTACCAGTCGCCCACACTATATTTTAAGAAGAATCTCGTGGTATTAAAGGAGATGAACAAAGATGGGATAATTTAATTTGTAAAATACATTATACGGCTAATATTCTGTCGAGATGAATGTAGTTTGAGAAGTTAGGTAAATGAGTCGAATGTTGTTTATAAGCTGGGGTTAGATGAAGTTATCTACCACATAGAGTATAGCTGGGACCTGCTTTTGAAGAAGGATTGGTATTGTCGAAGTCAAACCCTTAAAATTGTAGATAATAATGAGTCTTGGAAGAATGTGTCCTCGAAGGAAAGTGGTCTGAGGCAAAGAAACAGAGTACGGAGTCAAGGACGACGCTACACCAAAAGCTCTACCCGTCTGGCTGCTCGTGCGAGGTACTGCAGGTGATATATGAGAGCGGTTCGTTCCGATATTGGGCTGCTGTACGAGTCGGAAGACTGTTCGGGGAAGACCGGTGGGCTTTATTCCTGGGATAATTAAATTAATTCGGGCGGCGACGGTGGGGTATCGAAAACTGGACGTACGCTCCGGCGCACCATTTTTCCCTTGGCAATTAAGGGATTACCAAGTTAAATTCGGCAGTAGGTTTAGTAGACATTGGTCAACTATTCGTAGTTTTTGCCAACCGTTTCGCAAGGCTCACTAGGGTTGGGCATACCTCCACTTATGTAGAAATGACTGTTAAATTAAGGCTCTTAGAAAGTGCGCAAGATCCTGTTATAGACGAACCCTTGCTCTCGAGGCTATCTTAGTATAACTATATTATTGGCTGATATAGCAACGAATTCCTTCTTGCACTAACAGCAGGAATATCGTGCTTCTACGAGGGGGATCGACTCAGGGTTAGATAGTCTATATCCGCGCAAAGCATGTTGGCTGAAGATCTTGGAGAAATCTTATACCTACTGCGGGGATACTGTCTTTTAGTGTGATATACCAAGCCGCCGCGTTTTCTCCGTGGACTAGGGGTTTAATAACGACATGAAAAAAGTTCTGCGTATCAACATATAGTGCAAACGTCTAGGTTTCTAGTAGATTATTATTACTGCTTTTCTAGTGAAGTAACACGATGAATAATCATATCTGGGGTACACTGCAGTTGTGGCCGTTTCCGGTCAGATGTTATGTACGACTTAATGTTTACTCTTCCTTATCTGCGAGCTATAGTCGGTATCATACACTATGTTATACAAGTAGATTAACGTACTCATTATTAATGACTATAACAATTACAATAATTATATTTGACTTTAAATATAAGTCTTATGCTACTATGCATGCGGCAGTCAGACTAGTGCTATGTGAGACAAGATTCCTAGTTGGGATCTGCATTATGCTCATTCCGTTTTCCCGACAGCTCAACATTATAGCCATGTCTTACAGATTGTTCAACTGATGACAAAAAGCAATTGCGAAAACTCATTAATCCCGCAATGTAAGATTCATGATCGTCCATTGCCTAGGCCTCACTAGAAGATATATCGGGACTGTGTTAGAAAGTGAACGATGTCACGTCTTATGTTATTTGGGTATACACATCAACGCGTGAGGGTGGGTAGCATTTCTTACCGGCTGGGAGTATATCCCGTTCTGAATGGTCGGGTCGGGTCGGGTCCAGTAGTTGTTGCATACGAATGATTCCCAGCGGGCGGGAATCAGTATTGTAAAGTTGACCAAATCAGCACCTAATGTATGAGAAATGCCAAGAATAAGATATCGAACAGGGCTGGGACTCTATGCACCTAGAACCAGTTCTCTGCACGAGATTTTGCGAAATATATTACGAATGTGTTTAATACCTTATCTATTATACCTAGACTTCGACCTATCAATACGCCGAGTAGTAACGGACTACTGCATGTATCTTAGTTGAGAGAATTCGACCTTTATGACTCGTGTCTCTTGTCATTCTTTTCTTGGCCTCGTTTGCCTGATAAACTAGCTTAGTCATTATCCAAATCTGCCCCTGAGTAATCCCTGGATAACCCCTGAATAGTTCCTGAAGTCTTTTAGAGCCTCTTCCACTAAGTCCCACGGCTCGCTTACACTTGTTCGCGCTACTGCTGCGCTTAAGACAGGGTCATACCATACATAGACTTCTAAATGCTAAATTGTTATTGGTTTGAATAATAGAGTGTTTGTTAGCTCGAGCCAACTAATACCGCCGGCTGCGATTACTAGCAGCTGGGCATATGCAACTAAAACAGGTACGTGTGCAAATAAACTTCATTTCTTACAATACTTGGTTTCTGATTTGTGACAGTCTGATGTCGATGAATCGACCGTTCTGTGGATCATAATGGGTCTTCTGCGCGTAAGTGCGTTATACGCGGGATTTTTCATCCATGGACCGTGGTTATGTAGGACATAACCAGGGGTAGAGGGGTAGGCAACTCTGCAGATGACGGTTTTTGCTCATTTCAATGTTCTTTTTCAGCCTCCTACTGCAGCCCCAACACCCCCCCAAACCCTCCGAAATGGGGCCCCACGGTTACGACTTTATGCGCTATGACGTATGTTCTGGGCTCAAGTCTTGTGCTACGCTATGTACGCCGCAATGGGCTTATTGGGCTTAGTTTAGGTAGAAATGCAGAAGAAACGCATAAGATGTAGAAAATGTAGTATTTCCCAATGCGCTTACTAGGTACATAGATAGGTTAGGTACTTACGAAGGGGTTTGGATTATTCTGTCAAACTCGACATAGAAATGAGGTCATGTGGTTTCCCCAAATGTTTCCGGCTGGATGCGGAGGAACCCCAAAGTCTTTTCAATGCACTCCGCTACCAACAAGCTGCGACTGGAGTTTGTGGAGAGATCTTGGGGTGTTAGAATGCAGACGGCCACCCAACTTTTCCATACCACGAGGGTCTAGATTCACGCGCCTCATTCGTTCCCATTTTCGGAGTCCCCGTTAAAAATGTTGCCAAGTGGAGATAATTAAGCGGGTATCGTTCTCGGCAAGCTGGAACAACTTTCTTTTTTAGTACCTAAGTTTAGAATAACAGTCGTCTTATGACATATATGTATCTCGGCGTTATGGGGCAAATCTTAATCGGCTGTGCTTATTTGGCTAAGGGACGACTGTGGCAATAACACCGCTAATTGGAAAGCCGTTAATGGCCTCAACTTGATCAAATGCGGCAAGGTCGAGTCACCTGATTCCGCACGTTCGGGCTTAAGTGGAATTTTCGCGTGGGGCGCCGAAGTCTAATCCCTGCATCTCCAGACTCCCCCAGTTCCTTACCCCCAGCTGTTACCCCCACAGCCGGTACGCGAACCTTGTTTAATTGGACAATTCAACTTTACAGTCAGACAGTGTACAAAAACTTGATGAAGCACAAGATCATGTACGGTAGCAAAACCCCTGCTGGATTATCCATTACCGGCCTGGCATATCATCATGTCACAGGTCACTCATGCGGCTTAGCCAAATACGGGAATATGTACAATACTAGACCTAGGTATGTACTTCATGGTACTTTGCGAGTCCATTGTACATAAAGAACATCTGCCCACTCGTACTTCATTGTTCTGTTTTCCGCTTTGACAACGTCTAACTACCTCTTTACAAATCTCTCCTCGTCTGTCTCCAGAGTACAAATTAAGGAGCAGACACAACTCTGTAGTTGCTCACAACAAGATGGCAGTATCACGAATGAAAGAGCCCTACTTTGGGCTGAAGGGCAAATGGCTGACCTTCTGGATCACTGTAAGCTAATAACACCTATTTCCGAATAGATGATATGGAGCTAATAATCGTAGCTCGCTTGCGCTACAGACATGACCCTTTTTGGTTATGACCAAGGTGTTTTCAGTAAGTAGCCATTGCATGAATGATACATAGCGTATCGGTATTAATGCCTTGGTTTTAGGCGGTGTTGTTATTTCGAAAGATTATCTAGACGTCCACAACCTACATGGCCCGGAGAATACAAGCATTCTATCAATCATCACCTCGATTTATACTATCGGTTGCTTCCTGGGTGCTATCACCGCATTCTACATCGGAGAGACGATAGGCCGAAAGAAAACTGTACTTGTTGGCACCGCAATCATGAGTGTCGGCGCTATTCTCCAAACAAGCTCTTTCAGCGTTCCGCACATGATAGTCGGCCGTATCGTTACAGGGTATGCACCATTAGGACTTCATACAAATTAATTATTAAACTGACCTGTGGAATAGTATCGGAAATGGAATCAACACAGCTACTGCCCCTGTTTGGCAAACAGAGACCTCCAAAGTGGATAACAGAGGAATGCTTGTCATGATCGAGATGGGCTTGAACATCTTCGGTTTTTCCTTGAGTAATTGGGTTAACTATGGAATGTCATTCGTTGGAGGTTCCGTCGGATGGCGGTTCCCCCTGTCTCTCCAGCTCGTTTTCTGCATCGTTCTCTTCTCTACTGTCCCATGGCTACCGGAGTCGCCCAGGTGAGTGTTTTGTCTACATTGAAACTGCTTGATACGTGCGATTTACTGACTCCAGCTATAGATGGCTGTTTGCACATGGTCAAGAGGACGAAGCGATTAAGATCTTGGCGGATTTGGAAGATAAACCGATTAACGACCCCTACATCGTCGCCGAGCGCGAAGAAATCGTCTTCAGCATTGAGTATGAGCGCCAAAACGCGATCAACTGGGGTGATTTGCTCCGAGGTCGTACCAAATCCGGAACTAAAACAATTCGACGACTGATCCTTGGTTCTGGTACTCAAGCTATGCAACAATTTGGTGGCATTAATGGTACGTACAAGAAGGCATCTTATTCTGAATCCGAAGCTTATTTTATACAAATGCTAACTATGAGGTAGTGAGTAACTTAACTCGAATTTAACGTCTATTCCCTCACCACCCTGAAATTAAGAAAGAACGCACACTATATATCCCTTACCCCAACCGTTTTCATAGGAGAGCTAGACTGGATAATCAAATTCAGGATGCTAACATAAACCAGATCATGTCCTACTACCTTCCTACCGTGTTGATCGAGTCTGTTAAGCTAGACGAGAGCATGGCCCGTCTTATTGCTGCTTGTGCATCAGTCGCCTACCTCTTCGCGTCTTTGATAGCAGCGCCCCTTGTGGAAAGGGTTGGCCGCCGCATCATGATGATGGTTTCCACTGCAATCCAACTAGTCTGCTTCTTGCTTGTCACGGTCCTACTCCACTTCGCGGAGAAACCTGGCTACCTTCACCAGATTGAAGTATCTAAGGCTTCTGTCGTATGGTTCTTCATCTATTATATGGGTTTTGGTTTAGGAATGTTGGGTATCCCATGGCTGTACCCTACTGAAATCAACTCGTAAGTTCAAGACTCTCTCGGAAGCAACAATAGCTTGTGGGATCCTCAAAATTTAGGGGCAATTGCTGATTTGTTATAGTCTTCCTATGCGAACAAAGGGAGCTGCTGTTGCTACCATGACGAACTGGATCACAAACTTCATCGTCGTCGAAGTGACACCCATCGGTATCCAAAAGCTAGGCTGGAAGTTCTACATTATCTGGACAGTGACAAACGCGCTATTCTTGCCCATTATTTGGCTCTTCTACCCCGAGACGGCCAACCGTACTCTGGAGGACCTAGATGCTTACTACCGCGATAACCCACCCCTGGTCCTCCACAAGGACCGCGACTCTACCTCCACAACCCGACCCGAGAGGTTTGCCGAAGCGCAAGGCCGGGATATCGAAGAAGCTACGAAGCACCTGGAGAGGCGCACCTCTGTTGTTCACGACGAAGGGGGTTTGAGCAGTTAAGCTACCTGCTTGCCTTACGCATCCTCGCTCGCGGGGTATCATTGAATGCACGAAGTTTCTCACGAGGTATATTGGCGGGTCTTGCTCGTATGGGTTTCACCATACAACGGTGTTTTACGAATTTATACCTAGCGGGTATACCATAGGGATACATGCGCATGTATTGGGTTTCTGGGTTAGACTTGATACCATTTCCGTCCATAGCAATTGACAATGGACTTCATGAAATAAACGATATACTTGTTAATTTTTGTGTTAGTATTAAGGAGGAATTTTTAGCGATTGCATTGTGATGAAATCGTTAACGTTCGAAGGGTCCGAAAGGACTATCCTGGGTACCGAGTATCATTTAATTTTCACACTTGGCACCACCTGATATACGACACGAAAACTACCATACTGTCATGAGGTATAGTAAATGTCAGGATTCTAGATGAAACATGTAGAACAAAGGACATGTTCAGTATGTATAGACATAGATCCCCGTAGCTAGGTTAGAGTTCCTCGCGGAACAACGAAGTTGTTACAATACTGTTTAGTTCCACCTCGTGACAGGCCTATGAGGATCCTGTAGCACGAGAAGGAGATGATGGGACGAGGAAAATACACGCCGGCGCGGCAACTGCAGCGATGCAGATGTTGATATAAAAGGCCCATCGCCAAGTAGCCGATGAGTCGGCAAATGTACCGCCAATGACAGAACCGAGGATGGTCCCAAGGCACCAGCACATACCGACATAGTTCAAGTATGTTGCCCTTTCGGCTTCCATAGTCATATCCGAGATGATTTTTATAGTGCCGACGTAAATCCCGGATCCGCCGCTGCCGGCAATGGCTCGACCGGCGATAACGGCCTCGATCGACTGTGCGGAGCCGATGACTGCGGAGCCGATCTCAAATATGATTAAAAAGCTTGTAGAGCTTACCCCTGTGCCAAGTTAGTTCCTATGAATCAAAGGACTATGTAATTAATATGTACTCAGAGACGGACCACAGGATTCATGCCCACCTCTCCCATAAGATATGAGACGGAAAGCCATGGAAGCATGTCAAACCGGTTGCCAAAGGTTTCAATCATGCTAGGCCGTGCATTTGCTGTAACGGTATTGTCGAGCGCATAAAGGAAAGTTGAAGATAAGACTGCTAGAACAACGAGAAGCGATCTAAAGCCCCTGACGCCCCGCTCAACTCCAGGTTCGTCATTGCCGGTGGTTTCGGGACTCGGATGTTGAAGATATCCCCTTCTCACCACCATAGCTTCTCTGGGCTCCTATACCCGTGCGAAGTTCTAGTGATGTTCTAACTGATATTGGAGCCATAACGCTGTGGCTTTTGTTACTCTAGGTAATGGAATTATTACGGAATCCTTGGATTGTATGAACTACGTTGGGCAGGAGATTATCTTGAGTAAATGCCTATTCGGTATGCGGAGGAAAAAACGCGTGCCGTGCTTAAAAAGAAAAGTGTGATTTGTAGATGACGGGCAGCTTGAAGATTTTCTGTACAACGTGTTGGCTTGAAACGAGGGAACAATGAAGTTATTCGGGTTCGATCAGGTGACCTTTCACTCCGGCATCCATACTAGCTGTGTAAAGGGGTGTTCGATCAAGTAGACTGTTCGAGAATCAGTATGTTAAAAGGGGTCCATCCATGGCGTATTTGTAGTTAACTTACCTAGGGCCCGGTTAAGTTTCTGCCTCGCGGCTAGGGTAACTTCCTTAGAATAGGAGTTAAGAATGGGAGTTAAGCCAGGGAAGGGAAAGACGAAATAAGAGTGCATTAGACGTGTCGAAGCTATGCACCGATGATGGACACCTACCTGTACATATCCTTTACCTAGTATTTTATTGCTCTCAGCTCTGTATATAGTAACTGAATCATCACCTTCAAACAGGAAAGGTTCAGCCTTGACGGCAACGGTGTTTGTTTAGAGTAAAGAAGCTATGATATTCTACAACACAAGCAACACGATGGCTCGACTCTACGGAATCTAAAATTAAGATGCAGAAATTTACCTAAGGTAAATGATGCCACCCATATACTTTAAAAGTCGAAAGTCGATAATAGAACATTCTCGGTTTAAATTTTCGCCTGAGCGAGATAGCCTGAGGGGGCCGGTAACTAAGGGTAGCGACTTGGTAAGTAAGGGATACTAAATACGACGACTGCACCAACAGAGACGCAACAAAGACTACTGTGTGAAGTATCCATAGCGTAATTAATTTTACCCGATTGGATCATACAATCTATTTATATCCAACTTGCCCTCGTGCAGAGGCCCCTAGGAGCGTGTAGCCTACATGCTACACAGCCTTCGAGTAAATCCCTCCCCTCGAACCGGATAACAGCCTTCAAATCTTCAAAGCGGTTAGAGTCCTAATTTATGCCTAGTTCATGATCAACTAAGCTATAGGATTACAATACTCTCTAGCATCATGGGGCTTTGCACGAAACTCCCGGAGGCGGTTGACGAAGTCGATGTCATCATTGCCGGAGGTACGAATCATTCGTTAAAAAAACCTATGCTTGTGGAAATATACTAACAAACACGTCACAAACCAGGCGGAACCGCTGGTTGTGTCGTTGCCTCTAGGCTTGCGGATGCGCACCCTGCGTTATCTATCTTGTTGATTGAAGGCGGTTCAAACAATGAGATGCCTACTATTGAACATCCTGCATTTTTCATGTCACATCTCGCACCCGATAGCAAGACAAACCTTTTCTACATTGCAAAGCAGTCTTCGGAGGTGGCAGACAGAGCTCTCATCATGCCAGCTGGTGGTGTGCTTGGGGGAGGCTCGTCTACTAACATGATGATGTACAGTCGAGCTCAGCGATCCGACTGGGACTCGTGGAAAGCTCCGGGATGGTCAGCGGATGATATGTTACCATATTTGAAAAAGGTGACTATTCTTCTTATCTAATGCTAAAAGCCCTTACTTAATACTCATTTCGCAGCTCGAAACATACCATGGTAAAGACGAGAAGGGCGTCCACGGCAACGACGGCCCAATCCACATATCTCGTGGCACATATAGTTCGTCCAAGATTGCAGATGAGTGCATTGCGGCGGCAAGTAAATTAGGCTGGCCTGAGGTCGAGGACTTGTCAGACCTCGACTCTGTCAATGCCTTGTGGAGAGCCAAGCGTTTTATCTCGCCTGACGGCAAGCGCCAGGATGCAGCATCATGCTATCTCCACCCCCGTATTCGCGACGGGAAACACCAAAACCTGCATGTGCTCGTTAAATCGCAGGTTATACGTATCCTACTAGACGAGAAGAAGGCTGTAGGAGTCGAGTTTAGGCCCAACCCACTCTTTCACCCTGACGATACTGATCAGGTCTCTCGCAGTGTGAAGGCAAGGAGACTAGTAATTGCATCTTGCGGAGCCTGTGGCACACCGTCTCTCTTAGAGAGATCGGGTATCGGCGAGAGGAATGTCTTAGAACATGCTGGTGTTCCGGTTGTAGTCGACCTTCCCGGTGTTGGGAATGGGTACGAAGATCACCACTTACTTGGCTATCCATACCTCAATGTCCTAGCCCCCACGGACACGCTCGATGGGCTCGTGCTCGGTCGCATGGGAAGCTACGAGGATTTAGTGAAGAATAACGAGAAAATGCTAGGATGGAATGGCCAGGAAATTCAAGCCAAAGTGCGGCCAACAGATGCCGAGGTCGCTGCTCTTGGACCCGAGTTCCAGAAAGCATGGGATAAGGAGTTCAAGGAATGTCCTGATAAGCCCTTGGGAATCATTAACGTAATCGCCGGGTGAGACCTTTCTAAGAGGACTTCTGAAACATCTGTGGTAGTCGTTCTAACTAGCGAATAGTTTCCCGGGGGATATCCGTCTCGCTACTGGCGATCCTTGTCTTGCAGTAACGGCCTTCACTGTCTATCCATTTTCGCGCGGACATATCCACATCACAGGCCCTAACGTGGGCGACCCTGTTGATTTTGAGACGGGATTTTTCGCGGATAAGGGCCAGCTTGATATCAAGAAGCACGCGTGGCTATACAAGAAACAACGTGAGGTAATCCGGCGCATGGCTTCGTACCGCGGCGAGATGGCTCAGTGCCATCCGCCCTTCGCGACTGAATCGAGTGCTGCGAGCGTTAAGTTGAGTGACGGCCCACTTCCCGCCGACGTGCCTGATATCGAATATTCAGCCGACGACGAGGTCGTATTGGAAAAGTGGCTACGTGAGAACGTGAGCACCACTTGGCACTCGCTCGGGACATGCAAGATGCTCCCACAAGCTGAAAGGGGTGTAGTTGACTCCAGTCTAAGCGTCTATGGGGTCCAGGGCCTGAAAATTGCAGATCTTAGTATTGCACCCCGTAATGTGGCAGCGAACACTAACGATACTGCTTTGGCTGTTGGAGAAAGGGCAGCTGATATGTTTATTAAGGAGCTGGCTCTGAAATAGTTTTGAAATTTCTCAGCCTGGGTCTTGGTTATTAGATGCTAACAGCTACAAAAGAAAACATGTACTCTCTTTAATAATATGTTAGCAAGGAGCTTATAGGCCGTGCGATATAAGGAGCAGGGTATCATTTAAGTATTCAAGTACTGAGCTGAGTCTATCGATAAAATACATTCTCCTTCGTACACTAACATTCCCCCTCGTGGGCCATCTACTTCGTTTTACTCTATTGCAAGTTAGTCTCAATCCAATCTATGCTGACCTAGCCATCTCAAGCTTAGGTATTACGGAAAATAACATACCTCATGAGAATTCCAGGTAGCAAATCGTCTCCGAACCACGAGAAGCAGCGTACCTTCGACGATGATAGCAATAACGAGAACAACCAGTAACGACTTTCCGTATGGGTGGATCCATCCAACATTCCCGTTTAAGGCACTGGTGCCAAATAGGGAGAAGTCCCAGGCCCCGTGGATGAGGGCGGGAAGACCTATGATATGTGCTAGACTCGAGGTTTTCCCGCGGAAGTCCCGGCCGGCGGTGCCTAGGCCGATGAGTAGGCCGCCCATGAGATGCATGGGCGAACCGATAAGTACGCGCTCAACAATGGCTAACGCAAGATGCGCAACGCCCTTATTCTCCTGCACGGCAGCATAGATGAACCCCATGTTCTCGAAGGTGCTGAAGCCCAGAGCGGCTGCAGCTGCCAACGTAATATAGTTATGCTCGTGCGTAATGCGCCCCCGACGTCGAGCATATACCAATCCAGAATACTTGAGAAGCTCTTCCGGAATACTAGCACCGAAGTACGCAAACAAGAACATGAAGGCCCAATACTGCCAACTACCGGCTATCTGTCTCCTCGCAGCTAACGTCTCGGCATTTAGGCTAGCGACTTCACCCTCACCCCTTGCGAACTCGGCGAGAATGGTAGGCGCCGAGGACGGGAACAGCGCATAGCTGAATAGGTAAAATAAGAGGGACTGGACAACAATGACAGCGAAAACGCCAACGGTGCCGACGAGCACATACGTCCAAACGAAGGTCTCGATATCCGTCCTTTGGTCTACGGGACGCGCGCGGTCATACCGTAGCAGAAAGAACGTCGGGGTTAGGACGAACAAGGAAAGCAGCGCCGTCAGGGGTGATGAGATACCGAGAGCGATAAAGATGGCCGGTAGGATGACCCAGAGTAGGATTCTCGTGGAGCGAGAAAACTGAAGTTTACTCGGCACCTCGATAGCCTGAGGTTTTGCCCCCATCGTCAATGGCACTTATAGGTGGATATCCCTAAGAAATGCCGCGATGACTGGGATTATAGATAAGTATCTCGGGTAGGGGGCTTTTCAGGGGCTTTCTAATTGATGTTGCTATCCGTGAATGTAGGCGGTTAGATGAGGAATTGAACTGATGAGAATTCACGAGTATCAAACATAACCGCCGGAATTGACCTGGTATTTATTCCCAAGATGAGAAGATATGTTATCGCGAAGTATTGTCGTCTAAAGACCGATGATGAAATTTCAACATGTTAAGCGAATCAGATTGCGACCGTGATGAGTTCGCTGAGAACCGAGTGTGCATATACGCCGTATTCAACTACGTGATTCGTTTATCTCTTCGCTAATAAGAAACACATCGTGATCTTCGAAATGAAAAGATCCTATAAAAGAAACAGTAGTTAACTAGAATTATCGGGTCTTCTCATAAAAATGATTGATTATTAAGTCGGGGATTAGAATCTTCGCTCCTCCCTAGACTAATTAATTGGACACTAGAAATGAAGTTGCTTGCCTTATAAAACGGAATGTGAAGTTGTGAACGAGTAAAAAGAAGAAGAAACCATCCATTGAAAATAAAAGGTAAAAAATGAAATTTGATGACATTTGTTAGAAGCGACGCCTGCAGGATTCGAACCTGCGCTCCCGAAGGAAATGCCTACCGGTATATCGAAAATATAGCAGGGCATCGCGTTAACCACTCCGCCAAAGCGCCTCGCTATTTTGTTCGGTGAGCATTTTGGTCAACAAACACCATTATTATTGTTAGTTTAGCGCCCGCAATTCTAAAAGTGGACCATCCGACATGGACCTTATATCGGTTATTCCAATAACTACGGATAGTTGAACATGGTTACAGTTGCTGATCTCTACATGTGAATATGGATACGAATCCAAAGGTACATGTTGGCTATGTGAACATTAATTTGAATAAGACTGCCTTATAAGTCGGGAGCCCCTCCACAAGCCAAATATGAGTTGCATCATTAGTAAAGGTCGATTTATGAAGTTTAGCACGAAGTGAACTCTCGTGAACGATCATGGACAATATTCATATTATCAATGATCGCATATCCAGCGTGGTGGATGTGCGACTCCTCGCCATTCCACTCGCTATTATTCTGTGGGTTGGTTATGCTGCTATATTTCGAACGGATGCTGTCGGCAAAGTGGAAGAACCAGCGCAACTAAAAGATCCTATCCCTTTTATATTCAACACTTTCCAGAACTTGACCAACATGGGAGCTTTTCTAGATAGGGCCATGTGAGATTCTTCGTCCCAGGCTACTCCAATTTGCCACTTCAAACTAACTACCTAATTTTATAGTCCCTTGTTACGGGAGAGGAGAGTTATTAGGTTTAACCTGGCCTTGAGACCTGTCTATTGGATAACAGGGCCCAATCTTGTCCAGAAGCTATTTGTCACAAATTCATCGTTGAACTCAAATATAGTACCTCTTATTCTTATAGATAAGCTATGGGGGGTGCCTAAAGAGGAGTCTAAGAGATTTGCAGACGACAAAACTGGTCGCTTGACGTCTCCCATACCAGGCACAATGACCAGCCCAGATCAAAAGCGTCTGTGGCATACGGAACATCAGATCTACGACAGATATCTCACCCAACCTCCTTACAGCAACCAACTAGGCCAGCATTTCTTCGATGTGCTAGCGAAGCGGCTTGATGAATTTCCTACCACCGAGTGGACCACTATCAACCTTTTCGCTTTTATGAGATACACTATACCCGAGTGTGCCGTCATCACCATGTTTGGACCTCGAATGCTTGAGCTCAACCCGGACCTTGTTGATGCTCTCTGGGGCTTAGATGCTAACCTTGGGAAGCTAGTCTGGGGTTTACCTAGCTTTATTACCCCTCGGCCGTATAAGATACGAGACGAACTGCGTGCAATGATGGCGAAGTACCTTAACGCCGCATGGGCCAATTTCGACTGGAATGGGCCTGATGCAGATTCAGACTGGGACGTTCACTTCGGTGCGCGAGTTTCTCGGGAGATAGCAGTATGGATGAAAGAAAATAACCTCTCAATCGAAACTGCCTCCGGCCACACCATGGCGAGGTTGTTTGGGTTAGTCCACACTCTACACTGGAGTAACGGTGCATAGATCGTGCTAACAATGTGCAGGATCAATGGAAATAGCGTTCCGTCGGTGACGTGGGCCATAATGGAATCTCTACAGAGGCCTGGGCTTTTACAAGATTTACGAGACGAAGCCCAAAAAGCCATTATAGTTGACGCAAACACCGGAGAACGCCATATGAATACGCAAAAACTTCTAGCATCGCCCCTATTACAGGCTATTTTCCAAGAGACCCTACGCATGCACACATCATTTATGCTGACTCGAGAGGCTCGGGAAACTATTTCTATTGGCGGCTATCGTATAGAAAAGGGGTCGCTAATACAGGCTCCTACGGACGTAGCTCATTACGAAGAGGCCGTTTGGGCTATTAACGGCCATCCAGCATCTGAGTTCTGGCCGGGGAGGCATATCAGGCTTGTGGAAGGAAAAGACGAATCTGGAAATCCTATCACTCAACCAGAATTTTTCGCAAAGGCTCGTCCTAGTTCATTCTTTCCATTTGGTGAGTTCCCTAGCAGTAAAATTTAGAAGTATAATCTATTACTACCACGAGAGTGTATTGGCTGACAGTTACATCAACAGGAGGAGGCAATGTAGTATGTCCTGGGCGGCACTTTGCGAGGCAACAAATCATCATGGGGTTGGCTATCATAGTGTCTAAATTCGACATAGAATTCATCGAGTGGACAACTTTAGACGGCAAGAAGTCTGACCGGCCACCAAGGAACAGTAAAGACTTCGCCGGCACGGTATCGACCCCTCCGGACCGGGATATGAAAATTCGGTGGAAGAGGCGTTGGTAGGATGGTTAAGCTTATCGAACGATCGTAGATTTGAATACTAGCAAGCCTCGCTATACCATCCGTCTTCGTTCTAGCTCACTATTCAGTAGATGAATTGCTAATACTTCGCTATCCATACCCATCTGATAGAGTCGGTCTACAACCAATCATGAGACCAGGGAGTTGCACTCAATCTGACGAGATGATTAATTTGTGTAACTAAATAAGTAATATCCAGCGAGTATATACAAGATTCTATCCAACCCTCCCACGCTTCTGATGCATTAAGTTACATCACATAGTGGCAATGAAGCAGGCGAGTGGCCTGGAAGCATTCGGGTGAATGCCTAGAAAGAGGCGCATTTGTAGGAACTAGTAGGATGTAGCAGTACTTATTAATTGGGTAGCATTCGCTACGATATCCAGGCGCTCAGAATTGAACTAGTCATCCTTTAAATAGAAGAGTCCTAAAGTGGCGGGACGTTAAGATAAGAATTATAGCTCGTCACCTGAACCGTAATGGAACCGTTGTGTTAACGGTTTTGTTTCCGGGTATTCTATTGGACAGCTCGTTGTAATGGGGGGTATGATGAGTTAAGCGTCAGCATGGCTGGCTCCAGACGCAGTGCTACCTTTCCACGACCTAGAGGGTCTTGGAGGGGTCGTCTTTTCGTCTGATGTAGGATCTCACATGTCTGGGCTCGTCGCCTTCTCGTCTCCGGGGTAGATTCAATAGTCTTAATCAGACCTAAGATATTCCTCATACAGTAAAATATTTCATATCAAGAGATGGGCGTTTCATTCGAAGGAGTTATGCATCGCCGTTGTGTTTGGGACTTTTGACTATCACGGCGCATTACATGTTAGAGGAATCTTGCGATACCCTTCCGTGAAAAAGGTACGATCCTATAAGGCGAGTCTGGTGCGCCTATGAGATCACTGAGGTGGCTTACCTTTCTCCCCCAAATCATACCCCCCAAGTTTCATCCAGAGTTGGACTCGATCGCCTCTACTTTAATTTGACTGCTGTGTTACCGCCCATCATCGCAAGATATGGCTGCACTTGTGCCTCTGGACGAACTGATACCCTTTCCCACGGAGGTTAACGACACCCATAAGGTGTATAGAATCGCGGCCGCCTGTATAGCCCTCTGCATTGTTACTACGGGCTTCGTGGTAGCACGCCTTACACTCCGAGCCCGATCCAAGAATTTGGGACCGGATGATTATGCCATCATACCAGCAACTGTAAGTTAAAGACACCTCGTTACACTCGATCGCTTCTTCTCATTATCAGATAGATACTGTACATCGGCTGGTCGAGTTTAGCAGCCTACATCAACCTCAATGCGGGAGTCGATAAGCCTCTATGGGAGATCACCATAGAGGAATATTCCCTATGGTACAAAGGAATCGTAGCGACGGCATGGCTATACCCTATAATGTCAGGCACCATCCGAGTTTCCATCACCCTGTTCTACCTGCGTATCTTTGGACACGGTAACAATGTAACGACCAGGCGGGTTCTTTATGCATTCTTAGCCTTGCAGGGCGTCTACGTCGTGGTCTTCTCCATTACACCCGTTTGGGCTTGCCAACCACTCTACTGGGCATGGGACCCTCTACAGCATCCTCTACACTGCAACGATTTATACTATACGTACTCGACGATCGGCCTCTACAGCGTTAGCTTAGCGTACGACGTTGTTCTACTATTATTCCCAATATTCCCCGTTGTGAAGCTCAATATGGGTTGGCGAAGACGTCTTGGTATCATGGTAATCTTCATGTTGGGTGCAGCGTGAGCAATTCCCCTCCAGAGTATTCGAGTAGAAACTTATATAAAATGTAGGGCTAGCATTGCTGCTGCATTGAAGTTGGCGCTGTTTGTGGACGGCATCCGAAGATTTGTGGTTACGGATCCCGTCTGTCAGTATTATCAAGACTTTTTTCATCTTTATCCTATCTATCTAACAGAAGATCTCAGTTTTCAAATACCTCGCCTCGCGCTTTATTGCCGGGTCGTTCGCTGGTTATGGCGAGACATTTTGGATCCCGTCTCAAGTCGAGCCTACTGTCGCCCTCATCGGAGCATCGCTACCAGCACTCGGCCATTCCATGAGGCTCGTTGCAGGGCATGTCACAAAAGTATGGTCTAGTTTAACTTCGACTTCCAAGACTACGACTTATGACTCCCAATCAAATCCACCAACATTTGGCAACAAGCAGACAGCTAGTAAAGGAGGGTTTCGACCCCTGAATGAATCACAGATCGAGCTACGGGATACAGGAAGGTCCAAAGTCGATAGTCGCGCGCAATCTACCGACAATAGGAGTTATTATTGATTTTTACGAATGTAGGCATCACGTCATACGGCCCTGGAAGTCGCCGTATCATGTAAATTTAGCGGCTCGTCAACCGATCCTCTGTATTATAACACGACGTTTCCTGCCGGTAGAGATGATGAGTCTTGGGCGCGGAAACGATTTGATGTTGTACATATGAATTAAAAAGTTATGAATTAAAAAGTTATGGAAAAGGCAATGTATACAATTTAACGAAGTTATCTACGAGAGAAATGCCCATCGCCAAACGTATCCACTCAATTAATAATAGCAAAGAATATGAATATTCGTTAAATAACCTTGAGATCGTATTGATCATCAAGTCCGCTTTTAAACTACTGATTCAATTACGATGAGCGAGGAATTGAAAACAGGTTAATGTGCCAAAACAGTCTCAAGTTGCTAATAGCCAAGGACAAAAGGACATATTAATGTAATATCTAGGAATATATCGAATAGCGCACCAATCAACTTGGAGGGTACAGTGCGAACTTGGTAGTGATGCTATAATGTTACATTGAGATTGGGTATATCTACAAGATGGGTAGATCCTCCAACTTACGTGCATATTGACTGGGGAGTTAGGACGGAGGCTAGTACTTATCCATAACGACTAGAAGTCCCTTGCCTACGGCACAGTGCTCTAATAATCACCGTGATCATTACAAAGTACCTAATAACATAATGAGGTATTTAGTCCGTGCCATCCGAAGGGGTAGAATGGTAGGCTGCATGTAAGGGTGACCATAATCCGACTCATCACCCACACGACCTAAATACATAGATAGGTAGCAAAACGCGTGGCCTAGCTCCCCGCCCCGGAGAGTTACAGCAGGAAATAAACACCTGCAGGCGAAAAGGGTGGTGGTATTTGTAGCCTTCGGACAGTCCTAACTAGGTCAGGTGAGACGCTGGCATCATTGAAAGATAGAGGATGTGTAAGACCGGTCTAGAATGTCCATAGAAGGATTCGAGCTGCAATGTTCTTTCGTAACTCAAGAAAGGGGTATTCTCCGAGGGGCTGTTTGAGGTTATGGTATTATCTTTCAAAGCTGAAGCGGAAGCTGAAGCTGAAGCTAGCTGCTTGCGGCCCTATAATTGCTGAAAATCGTATAGGTAAAATTAACTAGCTGGTAGGATCGGATTGCGAGCTTGAAATGAGTTTAATAGATGGTTTAACTCCGAAGTATTAAACTCTGTACGAAGGCACTCCTTGAGTAGATATTTACTTAATTAACCGTTGTTCTATCATTGTTCTAAAGAATATTCGATGCATTGGTGCTCCAATACGATTACATAGCCCAGCCACCTCTTAGTCCTGCAGCTTTCGGTAGCATCTCAACGACCAACGGGCTAGAGGTTGCAACCCTATTGGTTTAATCCAGGTAAGTGTAACACAACAGCAACATCGGTACAGCACAACTGGGAGAGCTTCTAATGACCAGTCGTTAGGATAGGACAATTACATAACGTTGCATTTCAAGAGGGCCAAGAAAGGCGTTCTCTTTCTAGCTCTAGGGGCTATGGCGGTGCTCTCCAGTATTATCAGTGCATTATCACTGCTGAGCATTGTCGGTTCTGACATAGTACTCGCCGATTCTACCTCACAAACAAGTGCTTACCTTGAATTTCGGGACAATATGAGCGAAAAGTTCGAAGCTTTTTACAACAGCATAGGCCTGTCGGAAGCACAGGCTGGAACTCTAAAGGAGAAGTACGGTATAGAAACAACTGATGCAAACTCTGTTGAGGCAGCTTGCACAGCGGCACAACTTAGTCTTGGAGCTTCTATAGTTGATACATCTCCCTTAAACCAAACAGTGGTGGGCGAAAACTGGTAAGTTCTGCATAGCCTATTCATCATTCTAGTCTCATATGTGTCAAGGTCAAAAGCCTGCGTGACCGAACCCTACTGCATAGTCCAACCGAAAACACCAGAAGATGTATCCAAGGTCATCAAAACGATTAGCTATTACGGCGTCAAATTTGCCGTTCGCAGCGGTGGTCATTCTCCCAACCCTGGATGGTCAAGCGTGGGGCAAGGAGGAATTCTTGTGGACTTGCAAAACCTGAATCAAATCAACCTAAGTTGCGACAAGAAAGTGGCGAGTATTGGTCCCGGGGCTCGATGGGGTGAGGTGATCTCGACTCTAGATGCACAAGGGGCTACCGTTATAGGTGGGCGAGTTCCCAGTGTCGGTGTAGCAGGAGTTATCCTAGGTGGTATGTTACAAACCCCTGTTGTTCCTAGGTATTTCTAACACTATTAGGGGGTTACTTTCATTTTACAGGACAGTTTGGTACTGCCGCCGATAACGTGAAGAACTTTGAGGTATGTGGTACTCCTTGATGAGTGTGCCGGGCAGGTGGCAATCAAGTCCTAGGTCTCGGCTTAGACTTCACGTGCTAAATTGTACTCTAGATTGTCCTATCGGATGGCACGATCACAAATGCTAGTTCTACTGTCAACCCGGATCTCTTTTGGGCTTTGAAGGGTGGTGGGCCTAACTTCGGAATCGTAACTCGATTTGACCTATATACCGTACCCGTAAGAGGGATCTGGTATCAGGCGTCGATATACTCGGTCGACCAAGCTGACGCTCTTTTGGAGGCTTACGCCAAGTGGCAGCAGAATGAAGGCGCAACCGATCTCAAGGCCACCGTAGGTCTTGGTATTTCTCTCGACTCCATCAGCATTGGTCTCGTATATTCGGAACCGACAGAGGATCAGCCAAGCGCGTTTGCACCCTTCAGAGACATAGAACCACTTCTGGTCGCTGTGCCACCAACCAACGGTTCAATTTCCGCTTTGACGGCGATAATGGCCAGTACTGGAACTGGGTCAGACCGGTACGTACCCATACTGCTAAAAACTATTTTGAATAGGGGCTGATGAAATTGTAAACAGCCATGATTACCGAGCCGCCAGCACCCGCATCGACGCCCAACTTTACAAGGACGTGTACGCCTTTTGGCGGGAGAAAGCCCTTGCAGTTCGCAACGCCACAGGAGCAAACCAGAGTTTCACTATCCAGCCTGTTCCCAAGAATGTTGCCATACAGGGAGAACAGAAAGGGGGAAATCCAATGAATATCCTCAAGGATAACCACGGATGTATGTCTAACCTCTTCTCAAGCATAATGTTGTAGATAACTTACCTAACTAATAATCACTAGGGTGGACGACGATTGTTGATTGGGATGATGAGAAGGACGACGATCTGGTAAGGTCGGTCTCGATCCAGACAAGCGAAAAATGGAAGGAACTAGGAGACGAGCGAGGTTTATCACTACCATTCACCTTCATGAACGACGCTTCTCGAGATCAGAACCCGCTCGCGTCTTACGGTACCGAAAACGTCAACAAGCTGAAGCAAATCTCCCAGAAGTATGATGCTTCGCAATTATTCCAGAAGCAACAGAACGACGGGTTCCTACTTTCTAAATTGTAAACCATAATTTCTAATCTATTAGTTAAGTTGTATCAGGAGATGCCTTATATATGGCAGTTATAGATAATCATATATCAATACGATAATTGCTTTCAACTACACATCATTAAGTACTTTGGGTTTAAACACAGCATATAGAGCAACAACCACCTTATTACCTTAGTTACATTATGACTATTCCCTCTTTTGGCGACATATTTAGGCGATCATATGATTTCCAAGTGGTTGCAATTTCCATTAACCTATTTCATGTCGTCTCTACTTGGTAACATGGATCTAGATTCCAAATAGACACGTTTGAAAGGATTTCATAATTTAAAGTTACCCAACAAATATGATAGTAACTCCTGCATACTTCGTGAGTGTCACTTTTGCTGCACCTGGGGTCGCACAATCTTTAGGTAATACTCTTTCGAGAAAGAAGGTTGGAAGCGAGAAACGAACACCCATGATAAGCGGATATTTACACTCGCTTAACGACCTAAAAATGAATTGCATGTCGCGAATCTAATACAACTATGTACAGCTCCGCAAATATCATATGTCATTTGTGAGAATCTTGTTAGTGTCACCGCCTTTCACATATCAGCCTTTCAGGAGATACTATGGGTTACATGATTCCAACATGGTGGGTTGCACAGCCTAATATACTTTAAATTCAAGGTCGTATCACAACGGCTAACGCATGTAAGCTTAAACGGTCTTAGAGTTGAATGCACTGCTACGTTGCGGTAGCTTTGGAGTCGAGTCTGTGATTTGACAGTAAACCGTTCAAGCGGATACCATGTGTCAGCAGCATCTAGAAACTTGAAGTCCTACTAGCTCATTGACGTAAGACTTACTAAAAGGTACTGTAAGTCTCTCCAACGACTAGTTTCCGGATATAACGGACATCCACGGATGTTCATGGACAATTAGGATTCTAAATTTTCCGTTTAAGGTAGGTCTAGGATCCTTTTAACTCCTTCGAGCTGTAGAGGCTTGTTAGTCACTCGTAATTCACTAATAAACCTGGCGCTTTCAAGGATGAGATCTCAATAAACAACGGCTAGATCTTGGAATATACACGAATTTGATAAGTATTGTGGCCTTTTTAGTTCGCTCCTGTGGGTCTGAGAGGTAAGCACTTAAGCAGCATACCGAGCAAGGTGCTCTCAGAAGCATGCTGCATTTTAGGATCTCAACAAAGTATAACGAACAGTATGAACATTGGTTTACAAATAACTAATACTATACCCATTTATGTATGTCTTGTACACGGAAACCGTTCCTATCGCTCCTTTTCCCATTACATCATGGGATTTTATAACCCCCTGGGACCAACCTCTGGAACACCAAGTCTGGATCGTACTCACGTTGTATCCGCCGGAACTTCCGAACGTTATTTGTGCCGTAATGGTCGATGACTTCTTGGTCCCAGCTTGCATCGTTCATGAAAATGTACCGTAAAGAGTTACCGCTTTCCTTTGCGGCAGCTTGAACTTCGCCGATTAGCTGCGTTGAGCCGCTATGTACTACCTCATCATCATCCGGCCACAGCCAACCAGAATCAACTTTGAACCAAGTTTGGTTGACGGCCGTTAAGCCTAACGCGTTACCACCCTTTGCATTGCCAGCCTCGACGACACTGCTGGATATTGGCTGTATAGAGAAGGAGGTAGATCCCGCAGTAGCCGAGCGGATCTTGTCTAGCGCCTTTGACGTAGTTACAATAGAGCCAATCTTATCATACAACTCCTTGCTCGGCGTTATAGTAGTAGTAAACCAATCAATCCTGTACCTGCATTAGAATCTGCCTCAATCAACTAATGGGGTAAGAGTGTAGTATGCTAATATACGAAAAGGGGCAAGGCTTGGCATAGTAACTTCGGTGACGAGTGGACTTATATATCGTCAAACGGTGTTGAAGGAATTGCCAAATACGTACCTCGGTGGGAGCTGTGCTTGTGCTTGTCCACTAAGGAATTCCGTGAAGGAACTGATCGCTGTAGTGTCGAATGTAGTGTTGATGTGGTAGAACGGCTCAAACGCTATAGGATTCGGCTCTGGCTTCAGGTAGATCAAACTCAGTATAACCCCAAATGACTCGTTAATAGGAAACCCTTGAAGCATCAAATTTGCGTAAGGGTCCTTATTTGGCGCTGTTTGATACTTGAAGGCGGCCGTAAGTAACTCCGGAACGTCTGCTAGCGTGTATCCTCTTATTCCACCCCAGACTCGCTGGACAGGATACGTGGAGAGCTTGAACGTAGTTACGATACCTGTTATATATCTTAGCTTAGTAAGTCTTGAGCAATAGGAAACAAACGCACCAAAATTGGTAGCTCCTCCTTTCAAAGCCCAAAACAGATCTTTATTAGTGTTTGCATTGGCATGGACAAATGACCCATTAGCCAGAACTACCTAGTAGGCAGTTAATATTATTGTATATCATAAACTTGGTAAATATGGGATTATACCTCGAATTCTACCACGTTATCACAAGCTAGACCGTGAAGATCAGACAAATAGGAGAGGCCGCCTTGCAGTTCAGATGTCAGTCGTTGTTCTAAATTGAAAACTGGAAGACTTACCTCCAAGAATTAGCCCTCCTACACCTACGTCGAGCACTCTTCCACCAACAACAGTGACATTGAATTGATCAAGTTGCTTGTAAACATTCTCCCATTTTTGACCAGCACCAATGTTCGCCACATTATTCTCAGCATCGTAATCTACGCCATTGAATTTCGAAAGGTCAATCAAAACTCCTTGGTCGATATTTGCTGCCCCAGGTGACGGGGAGTGGCCTCCTGAGCGCACAGCAAAGCTGACATTGGCAGCTACCAACTTGGGGATGACATTTTGCAAGTCGTCTACAGACTCTGGCTGGAAAATACAGGTCGGCGTTTTCCACGCAGTTTGAGACCTTCCATTGTTAGCTTCCGTAACTAGACAGATGTTCTGTTAATAAGCTTACCAATTCTCTGTTCTTAAAGTAGAATATTCCGTATCATTAGGAAATACGATAGCGCTTCCGAATGTACCATCGAGTTGTTTACACAGTGAAAGACTTGAATCAGAAGTAAGAACCGCCCCTAGGCAGTGTGAATAAAGTAAGCCGAAAGCGGCTAGAAGGAATAGCTGCTTCAGCATAACGTGAGAGTATGACAACTGTCAATAGTGAACAAGATGGCATCAACCTTCACTAATGAAAAGCTGTCCTGCTGGAAAAAATGTCTGGCAAGACCATATATGACGATTCTCTAACCGCTTCGCATTCGATGTCCTAGATTAGCGACCTACTCTTGTAGTAGTTCGTGGCTGTTGTTGCAGAGTGCTATGACTGCGCCTTGGTCGAATATTGGAATCATTGAGCGAGATACACATCCATCAGTGGGACCACTTAGGAGCTATCCACGCCACTATGCACATATAGAAACGGTCAAGATCAAAATAAGAATAGATTGGGACTATAGACGGGCCATGTAACCAAAACTGTTGTGTCTCGGTACCTTGATTTTTAGGGGCAGGCATGGACTTACAAGATTGGACTAGGTACGACTACTAGCTTGCTCAAACCTCGGCATCGAGAGTGGTAGTTGAATATTTAAGTAGGTAAGTATAACTACCTACCCAGAAGCGAACGATGTTGAAATATGAGCATGGTTTCGAGACTCCTCTTCAAATCGACACTACTAAAAGCCCAACCAAGCCCGAAGCGCCAGCTTTCCGCCATGGCAACTAGTGAGCTCCACGAGAAAGTACCTTTACAGGAAAGCGCCGGCAACGACAGGCTGGGCCAGCAATATGGAGGTGGTCATACGGGTAAATGGGTTAGTCGCCTGCCGCCATCGGTGATTCCATACATACAATTGGCTCGGCTTAGCCCCCCCGTTGGGCTTATCCTCATCTATATTCCGCATTTCCTTGGTATTCTCCACTCGGCCATCCTGCAGCAGGGCTCAAGTCCCGCAGCCCTATGGACTGCCGCTGTCCTACTGCTTGGGGGCAGTTTGTTCTGTTCCAATGGCGCACATAGTTGGAATGATTTGATCGATACCTCTGTCGACAAGTTAGTTGCTCGCACTCGCAATCGTCCTATTGCTCGAGGTGCGATCTCACCCCGAGCTGCCTTCATTTTCACTGCGACGCAAGCCGTTAGCGCTGCAGTATTCCTTCTCGGCTTTCCAAAGCAGAAGGTCGCAGCCTATTGGGCAGTACCAAATATCGTCGCTACGATATACTACCCCTACGCGAAACGTCATACCTATTTCGCTCAGTTTGTGCTGGGATTCTGTCTTTCGTGGGGGGTTTTCATGGGTGCTTTAGCAATGGACGCGGATCCTCTAGAGAATTATTCAACTGCGTTCCTGTTCCTTGCATGCATCCTTTGGACGGTTATCTACGACACGATATACGCACATCAGGATGTTAAGGATGACACCAAAATCAACCTAAAGAGTATGGCAGTCTTATGCGGGAATAAGACAAAGCACTTACTCTGGGTCCTTTTGAGCGGCATGCTGGGTCTGCTTTCTGCAAGTGGTTACCTAGCCCAGATGGGACCCTGGTATTATATCCTAGCGGTTGGGGGCTGCTTTGCGTCCCTGGGAACAATGATCTTGAATGTGGATCTCGGGGATTCGTTAAGTTGCTGGTTGTGGTTCAGATATGGATTCTGGCTTGCCGGGGGGTCAATGACAATTGGGTTACTTTCGGAATACCTACTAAGATTGTAAATAAGGGGACTACAAGTTCAAGTTACGATGGAACCTTGACAGGGAACTTAGGTGACCGAAGACACTCCGGTAGCAATAGTACTACACGGATTTGGTAAGATCAATAGAAGTGTTACTGGTTGACTAGGATGAATTTCCTCTTTAAACATCGTGGTCGAGTCGCATACATATATCGCTTAGGAATAAATGCCCAAATTTTAGGAAATCTGGATACCAACAGCTGCATCTAAGTGGTATTTCTTCAACACGTGCTGAGCTTAAAAACGGGTTCTTTCTCCAGTGGAGTCTACAACGTCGTAACATCATGCTAATCATGCTACCTATGTATATGCAACGCTCTCGGTAAACAACCTATAATGAGACTATAGATCCTGAAGATACTTAGGTACATGGTAATCTTTTAGTTTCCTGAAAAGGTATGCGGGACATCACTTGGCTCGATGTGAATGGCCAGTCTTTTGTGGGACATATATCTTAGGTGGTACTCGTTTACGGTACGCAAACCGTTTTTGTTCGGTGACTCGAGATCTCAGTTTAATATCACCGTTATTGTTGGACTGCCAAGATCAACAACCAATAAACCTTCACCCCTTTTTCATTGGTTTGTAATAACGTGCTGATATTTCTCAAGGTCAAAATCCCCTCGGGTCCTTCTAGCCCGAGATAGGCTTCCGAATATCCCCCGAATTCATTCACTAGGTCATTTGTAGGTTGTAGCTGTCTCGCCTCTCTAGCTAAGACAGCGCGTTCAACATGATAGGATCTGTTCTTATCACAGGGGCCAATGGGTCCCTTGCAATACACGCTGTCGACTATCTCCTTCGTCATCACCCAGAATACGCTGCTATCTTAACCGTACGAGATATTGATGACGCCAACAGCAAGAGACTGCGTGAGATAATATCGAAATACCCAAATGCGAAGACATCTATCCACCAGCTTGACCTTGCTGACCTCTCCGCCGTTCATGATTTCGCCAGCAAAATTGAGAAAGAGGTAGCTGACAACTCGTATCCTCCACTTAGCGCCATCATCGCCAATGCTTATTATTGGAATCTCGTCCGCGACCCCGAGCTCACAAAAGATGGATACGAGAAAACCTTCCAGATTGGCCATATTGCCCATGTAGCTCTAGTACTACGTCTTCTAGGGAGCTTTGGACCGGAAGGTGGAAGAGTTGTGCTTTTTTCGAGCGATGCGCATTGGCCCGGCAAGAACTCTTGTTAGTATCTTCCTTTGTATCATCATAATCCTAGCTTGTCTTTCGGCACGTCAATCGAACTCCCCACGTTCGGGAACCGAGATCTTAGCTGCCACTTAGTTTATGCCAAGTCACCAGGCCGCGGCTAACGTTATCAATGCAGTGGAGAAATATCCACCAACAATCCCCGAGGACCTCGAACAGCTCGTGATGGCCGATGCTGGGGCCGACAAGACAGGTCTAGGATTCCAGAAGTATGCAAATACAAAGTTGGCAATTGTGACATGGTCGTATGCACTGGATAGGCATTTGAAGAGGGTCAGTAACTGTCTGAGAATGCTTTTGGTTTAATATGCCAAAAGTTACGTACGAATGACCTAACTGGTGTTTAACAGGACCCGAGTTTAAATAAGATTACAGTAGTAGCAATTAATCCGGGGAACCTAATCGACTCGCGCGCGCTTCGAGTCAACACCCCGAAACCCTTCACTTACATGCAGAAGTTCGTTCTTCGACCTCTTCTACCCCTGATTCGACTAAAGGACCATACGGCGCGCCTCTCTGCCCCAGCTGGAGCAGACGTCATCGAGCTAGCTGTTAACTCGAAATATGCGGGCCAGGCGGGTTATTATACTCTTCTAAAGAAGGACGAGAGTTCGCCGGAGAGTAAAGAGGAGCAGAAACAGGAAGCGCTATGGGCGAAGAGTTTAACTTGGGCTAGGATCAATAAGGAGAACACTTCTTTGGCCCTTGACTCTTAATACTGTAACAATATCTCACCCTTGAAGTGGTTGATTCGTAGTGGAAGACTTGAGTCACTGTGTACCTAGAATGCCGTGAAGTTTAGTAATACCTTAAGATTGATTCATGTCATTTCTATTGTCGTTTGAATATATAGCTGTAACTAGGTAAGTTGTAAAGGTACGTAGACAAATCGTCGCATAAGAAACTAATTGTTCAACTCGAGTGTCTACGATCTGCAAACCGTCTCTGGAAAAACGAAGACTCCATCTTCTCACAGGCCAATTGCCAATTTTCTTCGGTCAACCATTTGCGATAGAATGGCTGGTACCCTAATAAACCGCCAAGCCACCTCCCAATCAAAATACTAGAGGCTTGGGAAATTATATGCCTAAAAGGAACCCACCACGGCAACGATAGATATGAGCCTCCTGCGTCGAATGTCTGCCTATATTAGCTATATACACAAGATATACCAAGGTCAGATAGGGGAGGGAATAAAGCCTAATAGCTCACCGATATGACTTGAATCGGGTTAGGCTTCTTGCCACCAATCACAATCTCGTCCTGATACGCATACCAACTCTGAAAGAAGACGTTATCAAGCTTAAAGGCCTTTAATGTCTGTTGGCCTGAAAGTAAAAACTTCGTTGTGCTATCTAGCCTCGAAGCGGTGTCATCTTGAGGGGGCAATGAAGGTGGATATAGTCGATGGTCAACCCATGGGCCATGGTCGCAGACAAAACTCGCCATCACTTGGAATTAATATGACTTCACGTCCGTTTACCTCTGCGGCCAAGCGGCCCGCCAATACCTGCACGTACTCTTCCTGGTACGGATGGAAATGAAGAGGCGGCTTCTGCGATCCCAAAGCGATGAGACGCGGATGAGCTAGATCAAAGGTTACTTCGAGGCTAAGTAAAAGCAGCAACGTATTATGTAAGCTTATAGTTAAGATATGACGATATCGTGACCATGTCCGATGTTTATAGAAGCGCTTGTGTCAGGATTCTAGATGAGACATCTAGAACAAAGGACCTGTTCAACATGTATAGACGAAAGACCCTCATAGTTAGTTTAGAGTTCCTTGCGGAACAACGAAGTTGTTTCCATGCTGTTTCGTTCCACCTCGTGACAGCTTGTTTACATTTAATATTTTGGTAAAATAATTAAATATTTGCAAGCAGGTACCTAAGGACATTAGGTAAACCTGTGCGCGGTCTGCATGAAATATAAAAGTGGTATTATATATGCTAAATGTGAATCTTCTTATGTTATTGTTTCACCATAGTTACGTTGTTACGTTGAAACTCGAACCCCTATCCCCACATCTCTATAATGCATCCCCTAGAAAAAAGAGTTGTTAATAAATTGGCCCACTATATTCTTTTCTACGCAACCATTCATGAATTCAATGAGATATTTAATTGCTAGGGAGGCAAGGAGTTCGTGCACATAGTGGATCAATACCTAGGCAAATGCCGTAGATTGAGTGGATATCCGGACCAACCCCGAGGCCAAAACATAATAAAAACATATGAGAGAAATTCACCGAATTCGTCATCTTTGCTTCAATAATCTTCCCGAATAAGATGTAGGTAGACTAGAAGTTGTGTTTCCAAACACTAGTCCCTTAGGTCTCTCATAAAGGTAAACTTTCACAAGCTGGTTTATATTAGTAGCGTAGAATCCCATCATCATGACAAGAAGACTCTGATAACGAGTCTTAACAATTTGAATTAAGCTAGGTAACTTTAGATTGTGGGCCTTTGCCTCCTGAAGCCCACAATCTCTTACCGCCGTGGAAGAATTTCCGAATTTCCGAATAAGGTCAAACAACTAGTTCTAGTCTCTACACTAAATGCGGGCGATGCCGCACCTGCGTCTCAACGTCATTTATGAAGATATTATTTGCAAGGTTAGCAGCCTCGGTCGTTATGGATATGTGAAAAACTTTTATCTTGCATGGATATATAAGATAGTTGAGCTACTTGTCTGGAATCATACGACTTCTATTATCCTTCTAATACTTCTAGGCCCATTTATACCTATACTTAGCCAGAAGTTAACAGAAAAATGTCTGGCATTACCTTCACAGTTTTCAAAGGCGACAAGTCTGGTGCGCCCAAGAAGGCCACTACGACTAAGCCAGAAAAATTAACGGAAGATTACGTCTTAGTTAAAGTTACGGCTTCTGGACTATGTGGAACTGGTAAGTCTTGCGTTAGGTCCATAAAACTCGAAGAAACTGATAGTTAACTGACTTATGAAATATAGATCTCCATTATGTATGTAATACTTCTTACGTGGTCTAAGCGTAGTGACATAAGACTTTTACTAACATAGCATCTAGAAAACTGATGATATGGTCCTAGGACACGAAGGAGTTGGTGTCGTCGAGTCAACAGGACCAGCATGCAAATTCTTAAAGAAAGGCGACAGAGTTGGCTGGGGTTACGAGCATGATTCTTGCGGTCACTGCCAGCTATGCCTGAGCGGTAGCGAGACATACTGCCCTGAACGTGCCACGTACGGATTCGCAGACCGGGACCAAGGCAGCTTCGCATCGCATGCCATCTGGAGAGAAGCTTTCCTGTTCAAAATCCCCGATGAGATGACAGATGAGGATGCTGCACCTTTGCAATGTGGTGGAGCCACCGTTTTCAACGCTCTTCACGCCTACAATACCACACAGGTAGAAACTGTCGGTGTAATGGGAGTTGGTGGCCTTGGACATCTGGCTATTCAATTTGCTGCCAAGATGGGATGCCGCGTTGTCGTTCTATCCGGCACTGATTCGAAGAAGGACCAGGCTATGCGACTAGGAGCGCACGAATTTATTGCCACCAAAGGCAAGAAGGAGCTTAAACCGTTACGGCAGCTGAACCGCCTGCTTGTGTGCACTTCTGCCCAGCCTAACTGGGAACAGATTATCCCTATCCTAGCTCCTGGGGCATGGATTCATCCCCTTTCAGTCGACGAGGGCAATTTCGAGATCCCCTATTTACCCCTTTTATTTGGTGCCATTACTATCCAAGGATCCATAGTTGCTCCGAGATATATTCACCAGCGTATGCTTGAGTTTGCTGCTCTACACAAGATTAAGCCTGTTGTTCAAATTTTCCCGATGACGGAAGCTGGCATTAAGGATGCCATGGAAAAATTGGAGCAGGGCAAAGTGCATTTCCGTGCAGTTCTAAAGCCCGAGTAATCCGCATGTCGGGAATGAGATATTCGGGCTTGGAAGGGGATTACATAGTACGAAACATTAGACTACATGAGGCATGATTTTAACTATTGAAGGCAATCACACAGACTGGGAATTGACAGAGGTTAAAATTGTTAGTTTCAGGGACTAGTTGAATTGTAAGCTGCGCTACAAATTAATTCAAAGAAGTAACCAAAGACAATAAACCTACTATAGTTACATGTTAATACTCTGAAGAAGTGCGTACAGTCCTAATTTAGATTTCAGGAATATATTTTAGCTACGACTTGTGGTCTACGTTACGTGTTGCAATCTTTCATGTTTAAAAAGTCATTTTGATGGCAATCTTCGATGGACGTTTACACATGCGGCCGAATAATTAATGGTTTAACAAAAGGGGGAAATAATTCAGCCGATTTCTCCTTATTATAGACTTGATAGTTCCAAAGCTTTACCTAAAGCTATATGTTTTATAGAATTAGCATGAAAGCGCTGCATTTTAGCAAGGTTAATTGGCACTTATGTATATAGAGAGTGACTCTATGTATGCAAAGCAAGACCATGTGGCTCGAAGGACCCCGTTGGGAAGGAGGTAGAAGGGCTAGTCATTCACCTACCAAAAGTCTTAATCTATCTCTAAATACTTAACACTAAGTATTCTATTAAGGGTAGACTTTACAAGAGTGCAAATAGCCCTAGGAAATCTAGCATCAACTCAAAAGCGATAATTGGTGACTTTGACAAGCCAAAAGGCCAAAGTTTCATATTTTTGCGTTACTTAGCCTATACCGAACGAGTGAAATACACTGAAGGCTAGAATTCCCCTTTTGCCCCAAAATTTGCCTTAAGTACCTAAGATAGTACGCCATGTTTAACTCAAGGTTTATAGAAGGGTTCCCCTTCAGCACAATCTTCCCCTTGCTCAATACATCTCTTTACGGCTGCATCTGGATCCTCGTCGCCATCTAGTATATCCAACCAGGAAGTCTTGAGGTTGGGAGAATCGAGTAACAAAGCCGTAACATACGCAAGGGATGGACGACTCGTTGTTCCTGCTACTCGCGGATATTTCCCTAAGGCAACGCCGCCAACGGGCTCCATTGTCAATATGCCTGGGCGGAGGGAAACCGCTGCGAAATCCTTTCTTTTCTTTCCTTCTTCCCACAGCACCTTATCCGCTACGATCTTGGCCTCGTAGTATCTATTCAATGGATTGCGAGTTGTCTTGAGATACTCCTGCCAATGCTCCTCCGTCACCCAGGACATCTTTTCATAGCGACAACTGTTGAAGGATATCAATATGAATTTAGTGATCGACGGGGTTGCCACGGATGCGCGAATGAAATGACATGCAGCATCGCGGTCAATTGCCTCAGTCTGACAAGAGGATGTTAGCATATGTCGGACTTAAGTGAAAATTCGGACTTAACGCCGATGCTCATACCCTCTCCGGTGCTCCTTTCCCTGCAGCACCAGCACTCCAGACGACATAGTCAGGTTTTACTTCATCTATCAAAGTCTTGGCTTGTGCTTCGCTCTTGACGTCTTCGATGCTGCGGACAAGAACATCTAGCTTGCCCTTATGATTCGTCTGCGCTCCAATCTGCTGTAACTCCGCAACCTGGTCTGGACTTCTAATGATACTCGCAACCTCCCATGATCGTTGAAGGAGCATCGGTGTTAGCAACCGAGCTACCTTGCCGTTGCCACCAAGTAAGAGAACACGATGAGCCGCCATTGTGATAACAGTTTTCAAAACAGACTAAGAGGTGAAGTAGTAGTGTAGTAGTTGGGAAAGAAAAACTGCGGCGGAAGACTCGGTATATAGGCCAAGGGACCCCCTCAATTAAAGAGTCAGAATCATTAGAAATTTGTGCCACAGAGTCATTTAATACGTCAGATATGCTCTTACTAATCAGGCAGCCTGCGGAAAACTCCTTGGGGCTATTAGCCAAGGATTGGTCGTACCAAACAACAAGTCGGCGAATGTGATCACTATCCGACGCATATGATAGATCAAGTTGAAGATGATCGCTCTCGTCTGGAAATATGTATGAATAAACGTACTTATTCGTAGGTAGGTACCTATGAAATAAATTTTTCATGATTCAACTATTAGTGAGTTCAGCAGGCACTTCAAAACACATAATCATCTCAAAATATCAACAACTTACCCACTCAACACGTTTTAGCTATTGCATTCAGGGTTAGAACCTAGCATGCTTCAAAATGGAATACCCTTAAAAACAATTATATGCAAACTCTCTTCATTTAACTAGCCTTTCGTCTAATTTGAGGGGATTCCGACATTTCAGATGAAGTGAATACATGGGTACATGTATGTGAATCCACTTAACTGTCTAGCACTTGCCAATGTCGCAAACATCTCCCCCCCGCTTGCTGTTCTAAGGTCACACTTGCATTCCGAAACCCCGGCTCCGCTTAACTTCCTGATTGGTGGAGAATGCCGCATCCGGACCTCCTCCGGATCGGAGCTCCGCCAATACTCGGCCGGCTGATTGATCATACCTCCCCCTTATAGGACCGGCTTTCTATACTATCATATGATCATAGAAACGACACTGTGTACACCTAGTGAGTGTTACGGTAAAAACTTAATTAGTAAAATCCTGACTAGAACAATACTTAAAGGAAAAAGAAAAAGAAAAATTATGATGCCCATTATCGACCTGCCTCATATGTCCTTTCTCCCTAATCATGTCATGTGAGGAAGTGAACAAGAAATGGCAATGCACCTAAGCTAAAAAAAATAAGAGACCATGAACCTAGCAAAGACTAGACTGCTGACACAGCACTTTTTCCTGGGTGACTCTGTAGTCCAAGGATTTAACCTGCTGTATTCAAACAAAACTCAGATCAGTAGGCTAAAATTCTATCCAATGTTACAATGGAATTGAAACGGATTGCTACTTAGCACATGGCAAGTTAAGAAGCGTCTACAGGATTGACCCTAATCAAATCGCTGAATGACTATTAGCAAACGATGCTTAGTATTATGCGTACACTTTGCAAGTCTCTGTGAACCTAGGTAGATGATTTGCCAGTAAGTGCTTCAGACGAACTAGAAACTCCATCTCGGGGTGTCTAGCAGGGGAGCCTATCATACAATAGCATACCACAGCCCCTAACTTGCATCCCTAAACTGTTGGTGTGACATTCTCTTCGTAGTAAGTACAGATGGCCTAGTACCATGTATTAAGTCCTTAGTAGGTATGTACATAGCATATGCTAGCTGCTTATCCTCGGGGTTCTGCGTCTAGTCTAAGAATTGTGTAGGGGCGCGCCCTGTACAAACCTGCGAATAGTTTCTTCCAAACCCCCTCTTAGTAGGATGATACAGAGAAGTTACTCCCTTTACCCACTTATATGCAAACCAGCAGAACCTTTTGGGGGCCTGCAACTAATAGTGAGCTGCGTATTACAGCCCGCCAAAACAAATCGTTGCCTTGAGAGTGGCTGCAATCCTGCCTAGTGATTATGATTTAAGAAGACAGTTCCTCCTCTTCTTTGCATGCTCTTCTCTTCTCTTCTTCACCTTCAACTCATCCTGCCCTGGGCTCCTCCCACCTGTACTCAAGTTATTTCTCACCCAGCCTATCTCTTACGCCAGTAATTTCCAACGCAAGTCTGCCTCTTTATAATATTTCTTCTTCCAAAGTCATCTCCTATACAAGCCGTCTAATTCACCATGGATTCCCCTCCAGGACCCGCCACCCTTTGGGGTATCTTAGAGTCTGAGCACTCCCCTATCTCTGCTCCGCCTGCGGAGAACATCGACGTAGGACCTCTTGAGATTCCGCGTCTCCCGTCTCCCATGTTAAACCCAGCTTTTGAGCTATTTGGTGAGGATCTCGAGCTTTTCGAGCAACCCCGTTACGAGGGAAGTTTTCTCCAGGCCATGTTCTACGACTCCGCCAATGCGAATGATTTGATCCGCTTGAACTACGGCCTGTTCCACAACAACTACCCGCATGAGAGGTATGTATAATATATAACGTCCTTTTATTTCCCATCTTCTACCATTGTAAAAACAAAACTAACGGTCTATTGCAGAGACGTTGCAGACCCAAGCCTTCTCCTAGTGGAAGGTGTCGCTGCTGTGGAGTTGGAGTTATTCAACGTGTACGTATTTTGCATCATTATATCAGCTTAGTGTATGACGGTAACGCTAACAAGATATCTTAGTGAAATCGTTGTCTTGATCGCGCGTGGAGTTCCCATCCTCGTGCATGTCGAGATGCTTCGGGCTCTCCCCTACTTGTACTGGATGTTCGTCGATCCCCGCGATCGCCTACACTATACAATCGTCCGCGTCCTCGAGAGCGCCGACGTTTGGAAGATTGCCCTCTTGGCGGTCTACGGCACTGAAGATTTCAACCTGGACGATCATCAGTATACTGGAGAGGACTATATCGCGGCCATCGCGCTAGTACAGCGATGGTCGGGACAGCGTTATGTGCTACGTACTGTTGTCAACTATTTCAAAGCGTATTGTACTCGAGTCGCAATGGCCCTACGCAACGACCCTATCCTCCTTCCGGACCATCTACTCAACGCAAACGCTCATGACCACGTATTGGGAGAGATTCAAAGATGCTACGTTCACTATCAAGCAATTCACGGAAGATTTCGTACTCTTCCGATGGGAGCGTTCGGAGCATGGGCTGTGAGGGCAATTTATCCTCCGTACCTGATCACTAGACTGCATCTTCTAGCTTACGGTTTCCGCCGAGAGATCACCTTGGCCCTCATGATACAGGCCAATGCCCACATCTTCGATTACCACCCCGAAGAGCCGATCTTCTTAGATTGATGAGCGAGGTTCTTTACACCAACCGCCGTTCGACTCTTGAGAAACTTTACTCCGAGTCATGATATGTTTCAACATATCCACTGCGCATTGCTTTTTCACTTGAACGATTCTTTGAAGAGACCACAGCATTCTTATTTCAACTTGCAGAAAAAAAACTTACAATTACTACGAATGCTGGACGACATATGTAATGTTGTAGCCAGATGATTACACGAGCCAGATGATTTCACGGTTGATGAACTTACTTCATGGCAAACGAGCAGACTCTTGCAGACTCTTGCAGGCATGCATGTTGATAGCACTTGCTAGCTATAGATAGTCCTTACTTGCGAAGATTAATCAATTCATATTCTTAGCCGCTAAAATTGAAACAGTGTGCGAGTTTCTCCTACTGTGGCTTCCTCTGTCTAACTCGCCATCGCCTTTTGACTTGGTATCGTAGATGTAAGATCCGGCTTAAGCCATGTAACCAAAAATTCCCTATCACATCATTACTGGACATGAGTATTGACTCTGATAGGGCTAAGTTGATTGACTCGTATCAATAATGGTAGATATAACCCACAGAGTCAGACATTTTCAAGATAGCGCATTGTGATCTTTGTAGCATGTTTCTAATGGAAATTTTTGTCTAAGATGCTAAGTGAATGGCTTCAGCAGAGATCAAAGAAGCTCACTAGCACATTTAGTTGTGATACACATCAAAACAAACTTTTATTGTAACTTCTTTGGAATTCTACCCCTTTTCGGAGCATTCCGGTGAATTTGCCGGAGGCAAAGGTTAAGCGGGGCGCCGGTCCGATGTGTATCACGGCCCCACTTCGGCGGTAGCAAACATAACGAATGCAAACAACCCTCCCAAACAGAGTTTAATTCAATACATAGGAGGTACCTTTTAGAAGAAGGTATTTGAAATCCCACTAGAAGAGTATTCAAATCGACCGGCCGGCCAGCCAAACAATCATGTTAAACTTTACACATATCCTTGCAAATTAGTACCTATCAATCCGATACTCTACTCTGTGTACACGTCTCACCAGAATCACCCCTTCGAAATACCATTAATAAAAATACCTTTTATTCACTTTCATATTCTGATAGCTTTGCCTCTTCGGAACCTTCACAAGATGATATGTAAATATAATTGGCCCTAGTAGTATGAATCCCTCGGATAGTACCGCTTCTCACAACTGAGATAGCTTCGTCGAGGCACTCTCGGGCTAGTGCACGTGCTTCATGTAATGATACTCGCTTAACCAATAAATCGACCACGCTCCACCGCGACTCACTCTAGTCCGTAGTGAGCTTCCATAATCCGTCGCCCAGGTAGTGCGCGTCCTCGATAACAGGCCCTTTACCCTTCTCTTTAACTTCCTTGGTGCCCATGACTAAGAATCCTACGGCGCATGCCTCGAGCTTCCCCTCGGCTCGGACTACCACGGGCTCTCCTTTCTCCAGTTCCCTAGTCCACCTCTCGTCTTCATCTAGACCCTCCTTCCCCTCTTCGGTGCTGACGCCGCTGGGTAATCTGCCGCCAGTGCTTGTCAGACCGGGTGCCATGAGTGTGGCTCCGGACAATACGAAGCGAATCGCTCCGCGGTCTATGCGTATACTAGGGAAGGCGTCTGGGAAGCGGTGGACGAGGCGTAGGTGCGGTAGCAGCGTTGTTGTGTCCTGCTGGAAGAAGAGCGGCTGGGAGTCTAACACGTACAGTGTGCAGCGATCGGGAAGCTTCATGGCCTCGAGCGACCCCTTCTTCGGTAGGATTTCATCGATGTAGGGGTTTAGTAGCGGGTAGGTCGACAGTAAAGACTGGCGCAGAGATCGTTGGACCGACGACTTTAGCTTGGATTTGGGCGCGGCGGTTATTCTATTTGTTGGTAAAGTGGGATAATTAGCTAAACCATAGTTACCGAAAATCTGGTAAAGAAGATTAGGATGTGCCGAAAGGATAGGAATGCTTACTCTCTCTTGAACATCTTGACGGATTGAGGGCCAATTGACTACTACGTATTTTTAGGAGTTGTTGGATGATGTCTAAACCGATATTAAATGATGTTTAGAGTAGAAGCTCGTGAAAGTTTGGAGGGGCATTTGGATGAAATGCCCCGCAATCATAATTCAGAAGTCCAAAGCAGCAAAGCGCGGGGCAGACTCGACCCCTCGAAGCTCCCGGTCTAGCGGGGCACATGGTACAAAGGTACCTTCTATCAACGCCATCAACACTACATATCAGCAAATGACCATCATTCATTATGCCGCACGTCGCAGATCCGTCTAGTTAAAAGGGAAAAATAAAACCATGTCAAAGATATTGTTGCTGATGAGTAATTGCTAGTCATTCTTATTGCTGATATTAAAGGGTACTAAGTGCATAGGTTACGTATAATGTTCCTTTCCGGCGAACCCCTCCATTCCAAGCCCAACCAGCTGAGCCCAACAGCTTCATATCCGTCATACAAAGGCGTGGATTGCATAGGTAAAATGTCTAACCATGCTGAACGTGGCTTACAGTGCCGTCGTCCTTGACATGGACATTCAGTCGGTCCGGGACGAAATCCTTAGTCACCATCATGCCAGGTTGAATGACACGGCATTGCTGAGGGAGATCCTTCTTGCAGAAGTTCTATAATTTGTATGCGTTAGCTGGTATCTTCATGCGTATAAATTATTCTCTATGGGGGAGATACGAGGAGAGAAAATTGGTACATACCGTCTCGCTGTGGTCATTTTCGGATACTGTCTTTCCTACTAGCTTGCTGGACCACTGTGTGGTCTTGTCCTGAGAGTTGTCGGTGATTCCTGGGACGACGAGAGGCATTTTGGCGGGTTTAGTGTTAAGTGTTTTCGTAAATAGATGTTGATAGTAGTTAGGAGTGTGTCTTCTAAAGTTCGGGATTCGTAGACTTTGGGTGACGGAAGAGATGTTGTCTCTTATATGTAAGGGTAAGGCAAGCAGCAATCATAGATACCTGCCTGGAATGCATCCGCCTCGTATGCAATGACGTATACACCTATTTAAACAGGGCAGTCAGTGCTACCAAAAATCACGTGGATATCCCCTGTCGACTTAGGTAATCACTTAGTTCCTTAATTCAGTCACTTTTACTTCGAGAAATCTCATATTTGAGTTTCCTTATGAGGTAACTCAGTATGTAAGATAGGTCTATAAATGTAAATATAGGCTCGGATGGTTAGTCATTAAGTTTGTAAGTTCGGTCACTTCATGCTCCTACATATTCGTTTTGGGAATTTTATTCTTATGCCAGGTTATCACCAAACTAAGAGCAAAGCTCAATGAATCACGATATTTCAGATACAATAGTTATGAGCTCGTTACTTATGACTTCTTTTATATTGAATACCTAGGTTTTAATAAAATCGGTGTACTTTACGGGTATATCAACTAGGTATACATTCCTCCTTGATGGTTGCCAAAAGGCAGAATGACAGGCAATAGAGATGATTATTTGGAAGAATCATAAAGATTAAGTATTTGACAATCGATGGACTTGAACCTATGTGTATACAAAAAGGAAGCTCACTGCGTTATACCTAGGTCCTATATTTTATCTTATCTAAAATATTCTAGATTATTAACCTCGCCGTTCCGGGTTAAGAAATGGTATTCGTCAATTTAAAGATTACCCATCAGAAGAGAGGTGAGCTATCCACAGACGTATTGAACACGGAAAGTTCCGGTTTCATTCCTACTGTCAACCTCATCGCGGATAACCGCATTCATGTTTTACCAATGGTATTTTTAATCTCATATGAAGGTAGATAACGGCAGTTTGAATAATCTACAAGGGACCCTCCAATAAAATTATCTCTTATGATGATGTAATATCTGTCTCTTATATCGGATAGACTCGTTAACTATGAAAAAATACTATGCAGCTAGTTGTTCATTCTAGATCGCGAAGCTAGCAGGACAGAGGAACCAGTTGTAATTGAATACCTATACTTCATACCTTAGGTACCATTAACCTTTGAATATTATAACTGCAGTTGGTATAATTATTGTTAACTCAATATTCTGGGTAGAAGCAGACGCATGAGAAGGTCTGACTTGCTTATAAAGCAACAAAGACTTGAAATGTAATATTCCCCCTATTGATTGATATCTGATAGTAAGTTCAACATGTACTCCAAGATGACACTCGAACTGTATTAAAAAACTCCCGAAAATACACCTAGGGTAGGTAAACAGTATACAACGTAACGTTGTTCGGCAGACATTTTACCATTGACAAGAGCAAAGCATTAGCGATCATCGCACAAAATATCTGGGTTCGTCGCGAATGATAGCCTAATCAGTACCGATTTAGAAGGTATCCTGCAATGCAAAACGCGAACCCAGCAAAATACGCGGGACCAACAGCTGCAGCACCTCTCCAAGCCCCTTGCGGAGCTTCGGCTCAGCCACCATGCTAGCTCTCCTGCATGGACAAGGGGGTACAGCCTTAAATTGCCCAACGTGTTCTAGTCCGACTCGCTTGAGGCACTTCACTCTGTGTAGTGGACTATCGGCGGTAGACGATATTAAGCAAAAGGGGTTTAAAGGGTATCGGGTATTGCCCATATGCCAAATTGACAGCGGTGCAGGGGTAGTACAGATCGGCATTGCAATAAACGAATTATCCCGAGCTGGTGGCTTCCCATAGGCCCGCCTCGACACGGTCATGGGCATTAACAAAAATCTGACATGCAGAGAAGAAAAGCCCTGGTCTCTGCTAAAATCAGATCAGCTTAGATAAGGCAAAACCAAGCTTTTGCTGATCCCCCACAATCTGCTCTGGCAGATGTATCTTCTTCAGATTTTCGTATCCTCCCAAACCGACACGTTCTACATACATACCTACATAGAGAAACACTTGTCTAACCTAACAGATCCTTTTATTTCTTTGTACTCACTATGGGAAACACAGACTTCCTGATTCAATCTCCGACTAACTAGACAGACGAGACGGCACCAAAATTGTTCTCCAAAGTCATCCACCCAATCACGATAGCTCAATGAGGGCTGTGCCGTTTCCGAGCCAGCCGCAGCGCTTCTGTTTCTAACGCGAGGGATCGATATGTGATTCGTTCCTCCATGCCGTAGGTCAGCACCAAAATAGGTCACTTCACAAAGCCTTCGAAACTCATTCCCGCTCTTTAGGTACCTCTTAGGTAGTTACATCAGGTTACCTTATGTAGTTATCGGCTAGTGTTCTGCTGCGCGATACATATGGATATAGTATAGCATGTATCTCCGTAGTAGGAGCCCTAGGCACCCGACAGCTTTGTGAGAGCTAGCTGGCTGTTCCCCTTGCCAGTAGCCCTGTAAAAAAATAAAAATAAGAGAAGACCCTGAAAAGCATCATGATGGGGCTGGGCTGGGCTGGACTGGACTGACTAGGTAGCCTAGCTGCATCTGGACAGCATTTACGAGGATGCGTTTTTCTTACATACATATTCAGCCAACCCGTACTTCCGTCTGGTCAGATTCTCTCTGATTCTCTTGTCTTTTGGTTCTTGTGTTTCCCATCTCATACCCTTCGTCATTAAGGACTTTTGCGTGGCTCACGGGTTCTGACCGACAACTATTACTCTAGCAGTGACTAGGGCAAGAATCAGGATATTAAAAACCTGGAGACGGATCAGAGAAGAAAATATTCTTGGCTAGATACATATTTATCGGCCAAATCGGAACGTGGATTTGTTAGGTTTTACCTACATGTTCTTGGGAAGAAATCGCGGTTCGGACTTTGCCTCTATCTAGGTTGTCACCTATTCGGGCAACTTACAAAGCCGGTGTCTCGACAGAGCGACATCTAGTTCTACCTATCTTCGCCTGAACAGTCTCGCATCAGTACATCTTTAGCGTGCTGCTACTTCTTCTAAATCCTAAAATTTACACATCTTACCAACCAAACCAGCCATCATTATGCACGGACGAAGATCGGGTGCCGCGGCCCTCCCGGCCACCCTTTTATCTCTTCTTCTACTTTTCCCGGCATCGTCTCTCGGCGCTAGTCCGGCGATAGCAGACCGAGCTTTGTATATCCGCGATACCGCTCTTGGGCTCTCTGCGGCTGCAGCCTGTGGTGACAAAGGCTCTCTCACGCACTGTTTCCGCAATGTGCCGGAATACGTCGAGGCCGACGACCTAGAGCGATGTTTCCGCAACGCCGGCTGCACGAGGGCCGAGTCCACCATCGAAGCCGCCTTCATCATCAACAATTTCCACAACGGCAAGTCCGTCGCCGAACTTCGACGGCGAGGGCCTGAACCCGTGCCAGGTGAGACATTACCTTTAACGATTAAATAAGTACCGATAAGTTAGGGGATATAATATAGCTAACCAAATATCTACCACAGCTCCTACACCAGCACCTACGCCCGCACCAGCAGAAATCAGCACCTCATCCGCAACCGCTACAGGCAGCGTCTTCTCAGCCTCCATCGAATGCAGTTCCGAAACCACCACCAAAGCCACCTCCTGCCCCATCCAATCCACGGGCAGCGAATCCGGGAAAACCCTCCCGTGCTTCGAGACCCAAGTCCCGACGTCGGTCTGCAAGGCCGAAAACTTCTGCTCGACGGACAAGGACGGCAACGACCTGTGCATGCTACGTCATGACACTCTAGACGTCGGCGAGATCATCGTCACCGCCTTCCTAGCCGCGGTTTTCGGCCTGGGCTTCGCCACCCTGCTGTTCTTCTGCTGCCGCGATAAGAGCGCCCAACGCAAGCGGAGGGCGCATGCCGAGGCCGTGGCCATCGCCAAGACGGCTGCTGCGAACGCTACCAGTGCTACGATGGCGGTAAACGAAGAGACCGCTATCCCGCCCAAGCGCGAGCCGAGCGTAGGGACTGGTGGACAAAATCCCTTTGTGGATTCTTCGTACGCGGACGCTTCGTACGATGCTCCGGGTCATGCTCCGAGCCACCATTAGTAACGGTGCGTTGGAGACGTGTATTCCCAGGAGCTGGAGCGGAGTCAAATTGAAGAGGAATGGAACGAAGAGAATCGAAGATGAAGAATGTGTTCATACGAAGCGGAAATGACGAATGAATTATATCATATCATGGAATTAGGCAAAGTCGGGCGTGGCGAGGATATGGAAAACGGGACTTTCGGGCTCACGATGTTGCAACTCGCTTAGATACCTCGGGTAATTGGTATTTTCAGTCCTGCGCTATGCGGTTGTCTTTGTCTTTGTTATCATTATGGAGTAATTTTTTCCCTCCACATACCTCTGTGCCCATTGTCTTTTGTTACCCTTTTATAATGCCCTTCTATGATGCAATGACCATTAGCCTTGGCAGATATAATTGAATTCAGCTATAATGAGCTTTGTATGAATGCTAGCCGTTAAGCTACAAACGGATGTGTTTGTTTTCTCGTAGCTAATACCTGCTCTCTTGTAATCTGCTATAATCTGCTATGAATGAAGCTCTCGGTTATGACTTCGTATATCGACAGTACACTTACATAACGGGAACCATAAGGAGAAGACTTATCAAGGTCCCTATTCACAATTGCGCTCACCATATAAATTAAATGGGTCTATAACTTCCCAAGAATATGCATCTGCGACTCATCCAGCATCTGGCCGCACTCTTGTAAAATATTAATTTCGCTAATACTGAACAAATAGCGCTCTAGTACGGATGCTCAACGGGGTTTCCCATTCATAACAATGACCTGCTTAACGGCCCTAAAAATCGGGGGCGAGAGAAAGTGTAAAAAGCCACTTCGTCTCGCGCATCTCTGAAGGCATAGACTACTCCCACGTGCTCTGACGACCGTCCCAAGGGATAGTCGACCTATTGGTTACAAACGCGCTGCGACTGCTCACCCAGTAGCGGCCCAAAAGGTACACGATGAGCTCCGAAGAGCCGGAAATAGCTCCGGTTCCATGCGGAGAAGAGAATCTCAAAATAATTCCTAGCCTCGACGTCGGCCCATTATCCACCCCTGCCAGTAACAGAATTACTTTATCCCTAATTCCAATAGTATTTTCAACGAGCGTATCGATTCCTACGTCGGGGGGCCCGCACGACTTGGTGAACTAACTCCTACAATTGGACTGCCGATTTCGCCTGGAGCTCCCAGCACATTTCGCCCCGAAACTGATCCTCTATCAGCTTCAAAGCGGACAGATAATTTCCCATCGTCGCCTATCCGCACATCAAAGCTTCCGCCGCCGTTATGTGAACTGCCTACGGTTTCGCACATATCTAACAACTCCTCTTCAGAGACGGGGTCGTGTCCTGGTGGATTTATACTATTCACGCGACCTTTAATGGCAAGCAGGTCGACATATCCGTTTGCATTGGATCCGAGAGCCTGTAGTTCTTTGCATGCATTCACAAGCATTTGACGAACAGCAACAGGTCGAGGTTGAGAGGTTCGCATACCAGAGGCAGGAGCACCAAACGAAGGATTCATCGGCCATGTAGGGTTAGGGTTGGCGAAGCCGGGCGGTGGGGAAAATACGTTTGGAGGACCCCATGTAGTGTTGAGTGGCGAGCCTAGGAACGGGTCCATGAATGGCGCGCTTGGGAACGGAATCCGACCTGGAGCGGCGGTGCCTCGTCGAGGGGAGTTTACAGTTTCTAAAGGTACATCGGTGTCGTCAAGTAAGGCGCTGCTCCCGAGATGATTGCTCACATCATCGATATCGGCTGACAGGTTATGGCTTTTCTGCCCGTGAACTACACTTCCTGGTCTACCAATTGGTGCTGGTCTGCTAATTGGTTGAGATGGACCGCCGGATAGAGAATTCGCGTCAAAAGAAGCAGATGTTTGTCGCGAGTGCGAATGCGGCCGCCCCGATACGCTCTCCGGGGAGAAACCTTGGTGAGACATATTCGGCGGAGGCTGCTCTGCCGGGTGATGGAACCCGGGGGGAACATGCTGAGTTAGAAAAGATCGACTGCTCATCGGGCTAGGAGCGGGAAAGCCTGGCGGTGCCGGCATGCTACCTACGGGACGGAAGTTCAAGTTTCCAGGAGGGGGGAATATTGGTTCGTGCATTCGGTTGAAGCCTGGAGCCATATGTGGAGGTGGTATTCCGGGAGGACCCTGGAGGCTCATAGGTAGTCCCGTGAACGGCCCTTGGTGGACGCTAGGCGGGCTCCTGACTCCTATGTGAAGAGGAGATGCTGGATGGGCGACGGGAGTTCCTATATTATTTACCGGTCCGGTAGATGAAGCCTTTCTGGGCGGGCCAATAGGACCAGGGCTAGTGTGTAGCGGAGTTTGGGTGAGCGGCGACACATTCTGGCTTGGACCGGAAGCAGAGTGAGAAGCCTGAGAAGCTGATCTCGTTACCTCATGAGATACGGAGCGAGGTTTCATTGGTGTGGGAGCCTTGGGCAGAACGGGAGTTGCAACTGCTATTTGAGGCGAGGCGTGATTTGGCGGGGGTTGGTGAGGGAGCACAGGAATCGAAACGGGATGCTGTTTCTTCGCAGGCTGAGTTGGAATAGGGGCTATAGGAGTTGCGGTTTTAGCAGCCGCTTTCTCCTTTTCTTCCTGCTTAGACCTTTCCTTGGCGTCACGGTCAGCCTTTGCCTGAGCTGCTCTTAACTCCTTTTCTCTCTTATCCTTCTCATGCTTCTCTCTCCTTTCTCGAGTCTCGCGTTCCTTAAGCTCCCGAGCCTCTTGTTCCTTGCGTCGCTGTTCCTCCTTTAGCTTCTTCTCGCGTTCTTTTGCTTCGCGAGCTTTGCGTTCCTGCTCCAGTTGCTTTTCCTTCTGCTCCTGAGCACGTCGCTGCCGCTCAACCTCCTTTTTTAATCGCTCCTCTTCCTCGGCTTTTTTCTGGGCATCTTTCTTCTTCCGCCTTTCTTCTGCCTTGGATCTGGCTTCCTCAACCTTCCTTGCCTCTTCCGCTAAGCGAGCCGCATCTTCTGCCGCTTTGGCAGCATCGCGTTTCGCCTTCTCCTCGATCTGGGCTTGCTTCTTCTGGGCCGCCTTGTCTTTGCGTTTCTGTGCTTCCTTTGCCTTCTTGGCCTTTCGTTGGGTTTCTTGCGTTTCTTCTTCTTGGAGTTCTTCAAGAAGCTTCTCCTGACGTTCCCTGGCGACCTTTTCTCGATATGCGGTCAATACTCTCTGCTCAAACATTCGTGCGGCGAATATCTGAAACATTCGGCGGCCTTCTTCCATACGTTGCTCCTCAGTCATGGTGTCCTGTATAATTTATCAGCCAGAAGGCGCGCCTACGGTGGATGCTCGCTAGCTACCTCTTCCTCTTCATAGTCTTCATCCTGACTATCCTCCTCCTCTTCCTCTTCGTCCTCCTCTGACTCGTCATCCTCGAGAGGTGGGTGGTTGTGAGGGTTAGGCAGAGAAGCACCATTAACAGTGTGGCCGTATGCACCGGCGTAGTGATCTTTGGCATCTTCCTCGCGCGCCATCCTTCGCTCGGCTAGCTGCTCCATCATTTCTATGAACTTCTTGCCGTCGTTCTTGAGTAGGTCGTCTGCTACAGTAAGAATGCCGCCTAAAATATGTTATTCAAACACGCTGGACACACGTATGAATCGGACTCAAATGAAGCAGCTTACCTTTGACAGTGAGACTTTGACCAAAATTAAAGAAATCATTAGGATATTGGTCACGAGGGATCTCTTCAGGCTCATCTTCATCCTCATCCTCGTCATCCAAACCATCTACATCACTATACCCTTCTACTTCATCTTCCTCGTCTTCGTCGTTGTCCACGTGTTCCACTATGCGACCATGAGACGGGTGATGGTTCGAAAATCTAGATGGAAGGGCTCCGGGGGGGTGCAGTCCGCTCATAGGTCCGAATCTCTTAGGTTCGAACATAGGGGGCGCATTAGGATGGTTGTGAGGTTGATTCGCGAACGATTCCAACTCTTGATAGTATGCGTCGTAGAGACCCTCTAATTCTTCTTCGATTGCTGTCCGTTTGCGCCCGCAGACAGAACAGCTGCATGTGTGCTTCTGCTGTTCCTTCATCTTCTTGAGCACCGCGTCTTTCTCAACCTTGACCAAGGATTTTCGTTCTTCCTCTCCCAAACCCAGCCAGAACTGCTTGATACGCTCTCGCTCCTGCTCGTTTGATGTGTTCCATATCTTCTCTTTAGATATGCCTGAGGGGTTATTGCTAACGGGCTCCTCGATCGTGCCCTTCTTCTTCTTTTTCTTGGACTTCTTAGAAGGCTTCTGCGCCGAACCGTTGGTTGATTCGGGGTGCTCATCGTCACTATCGGTCTCATCTCCCCAGTCCTCGCCATTGTGCGTGTGGTTGTCGGAGGGAGGGATTTCGCTCGGTATGGTATTGCGGGAGTAATGCGCGTCCTTTCTCTGCGACTCTGTTCCGATAGGTAAAGGCACGCTACTCGTAGATGCGGGGCTGGGGAGCCCATTTGCTACGGCCTCTGCTTGTTCAGCTGCAGCCTTCGCGGCAGCCTTCGCTCGGCGCTTTTGCTTCTTGCGATTTACCGGCTGCGCAGGGGGCATGTCGGCAGCTGTCGGGATATTGGTCGGAGCACCGCCTCTGGAGGATGAGGTTGTCGTAGGTGACGGCTGGGGTGGAGGAGTAGAAGCTGAAGACTTGGGAACCGATATATACTTGGTTCCATCCTTGTTTGTATATTTCGCTGTAGCCTTGGGAGTCGGAGGCTGGGGGCCCTGCGCGGCCGACTGTCGATTGTTATTTTTGCCAGGCATTCTCAAGGGAGGTTATGACGCGAAAGCGAGGGGAGTCATGTGCGATCTACTCCTAAGAGACAGTCCGAGTTAAACAACTCGCTGACAGACGTTGCTTATTGATAGATGCAGATTTAACGGTATCACCTAAGTTAGAAGGATGATTAGCTGCCGGATAAGTCGGTATTATGATCGATTTGGCGAAGGTGAATCTTAATGAATCGTGGTCGTGCCCCTCCCGAGCATGCAAATTGGCAACTGTCCGAACCGGAAATAGGTGCTGCAATTCTACGAGATAGTGGGTTTTTGTATCTAACCTTGGCACCGTAAATATGCTAAAGAGTGCAACGCCGACAGGCCTGTCGGAGTGATGGCTGATCACCAGGTGTGAATTATGTTCGGTGGTCAGAGATGTTGCTGTAGTCGGCCGAGGTTTTGGAGATGTTGGCGTTTCTTGCGTCTGGCTTTTCCATGCAAAAGACGTCGAAATCTTAGGTAGGCAGGTACATGTACTATGTACAATCTCGAAAAGCAGCTTAGGAGGTACTTTGGCTTGTGGTACCTCCACGCTTATTGGATCGGTTCTTCCAAAACTATGCTAAAACCTTACATGTAGGTACATAACCGCTTAGGTAAGGCATCTTAAGTAAGGCCTCCCTAAAGTTACCACAGCCTCATCTCCATCAGCCCCAGTTTTGCCGGTCGGCAAGCCGGGGAATAAAGGAATCACATGATCTTGATCTTGAGTAACCCCTCCAGGATTTTAGAAGCTGAGGCAGCCCAAAATTCCCAGCAATAAGGTACGCCAATACAGCACCCTGATGGCTGAAGCTGTAAGTCGTCACTAGTTCCGTTAACACAACCCCTTAGGACCCCTTGACCCGGTTGATCTAGGTGCCAGTTCTATGTACATATCTCCCAACGTTCAACAACATTTTATTTATACCAGGCTGATAACATTAAACCATAATAATCATCTATCACTTACGGATAGTTAATATTATATTTATAAAATAATTGTGAAATCTATTAGATAGGTAGATTTAGATCAATGGCCTATTTTCAAGAAAAGTACGAAGTACCGTAGATAACTGAAACTATTTTAAAAAAGAAAACTGCTAACTGTAATGTAGATATCATTACACGTATGAAATACGGAATACTGGAATGCGGGTTGCCCAAGGCATTCCTCACATCTATGACCGTGTGCTGCGTGAAAGGAGTTGCATCTTAGCGTCCCCCAAACAAATTTAATGGTTTCAGTTATTCCCCACGCCTTGCAACGGGAAACATGTGTGCCTATCTTGCTGAGGCCAACAGACTAGTGTTCCATACCTGAAGCACCTGGTTTGTATGTATTGGCCGCGTATGTATGTACCTACTGCTAACACTACCAATGCCAATAACAATACTAACATGACTTGTGCTACATCATATTGACTAGATTAGGTACCTAACCAGGTAGTCAATTAATAAGAGAGGAGGTCTTACCTACATGTAGCACAACTTGTCAAACTACAGTGCTAGGAAACATGTACTAGAACTAATAGTTACTGCAAGCCAATGGCGTCAGGTCGATGCTATGTTCGACCTCTTCTCCATGATGATCGCCTCAATAGAAAAAAGTGTGGTCGGACACGGTCCTTATACATAACAACTTACCCGCAAGTTCAAGTGGGATTAAGAGGGGAGTATGCAGCAGAGACATGCACCATTCCAATTTTTTATGCTGAGACCTGCAGCCGTTGGGCGATCTTAGTCGGGTCAGTGCGACGAAGCGGGAGCGGTCAGCTTGACAGGCTAGCTTGATTTGATTTCTCGACGTTGACGAATCGAGAGCTTGAGATTCTCCTGTCTATTTTGCATAGGCTCCCCCAGTGAAGCCAAGTGAATGGACAAGAACCACTTTGCATATTATTGGGTTCCACTCCAGTCATTAATTCATCGTCAAACATGCTTCGCGACAATCAGCAAGTAACAGCGTATATCGTTAACTTGTCGAATAGCAACGAAGTAGCATCGCAGTTTTAACATATACCTAACTGTCTATTCTTAATGGTCACTGGCTCCTTCATAGTTTACAATCTGGCTGTCTAACAGCCAAGTCACTCACCAGCTGTTAAAGTCGGCATCCATCATCTTATCTCGAGTTATGCCGGACCAATTGCGCTGGGAAAATTGATTCTGTTTACAACGACCCCCTTGTTGATTAACTGATGCTGTGGCACGGCCTGGGCAGTTTGTTTGATCCGGCCAGGTCCTTGTAACGTAGCGTTCTCTCGGGGTTTAGCATGGCTACAGCTGAGTGGCGGCATCTCGCAGCTTTACATCAGCTCAGCATGTCGTGTAGAAGTCATGGTAAATAATAATGGTAATATTTCTTGAGGCCGGCTTTTCATCTATACGACGGCGGAATTCTGTATATAAATTGAACTGGAGTCCCCCCGTCTAATAGTAAGGCTCTTAGAGCTGTTATATTAGTCTAACACAGCTGGACACATTCGCGACGAGTCAAGGTCCGGCGTCGAACCCGACCAATTGTATCGCTTTATTCTTGAAGCTGAATTACCAAGTTACAGGGGGGGAATAGCACCGACAGGGACTAAGGAACTCCAGGGAATCCTTTAACGGAAGGCTTTAAATTCGACCGCGAAACCCGGCTCTGGTTTGCAGGCCTCTCGTATTCGATCAATTTTTTCTAACCCAAACATACTTAAATCTTTAAGATAACACAGAAGGGCAGTAAAAGAGTATAATCCGAAGAAACGAGATACCATCTATATTGGGAAATCTGGAAATACCCAGTATCATCAACGATTGATCCGTTATTAGTACCCGACCCGGAGACCCGTTGGAAAGCTCCCTTATCCCTATCCAAAAATAATAACTTATTAAACAAACTCACGTCACCTTTTTGTCACCGGAGGCCTTATATTTGCGCTTACATATTCTAATTCCAATCCGACACGAGGTGACGACCCCCCCAAGCTGGGGATAACAAGAAATAGACTTTCGAATTCCTCGCTAGTCCACGCGTCCTAAAAAACCACAAAACGAATCTAGAAGTTTATTCCGACGACGAGACATACGATACGAACTATTAGGCCCCCTTGGGATTGGTGCACTTCACTTCGCGTCGAGCAATGGCGAGTTCAACTCCGCAGAATGTTATTCGCAGGTATGCTTCACCTTGGCTGTCGATCTCTTCTCGGTTGTCTTCGAAGACAACCATCACGCACACCCCACGACGTCACCCCCTTTTTCGAGCCTGTCATCGTTCCGGCCAGACTTACCGATCCACGACTTTTTATCTATAGCCCTTCGCATTCGACTACTATCATGTTTTACTATACGAATTAACACATAACTAATTGGGTCGCTAGGAAACTAGTCATTATTGGCGATGGAGCTTGCGGCAAGACCTCTTTACTGAGCGTCTTCACGCTCGGATACTTCCCAACCGTACGTTGTCTCTTCTCATTTCCGCGCTTCCGGCCAAACATTTACTAACAGATTACATATAGCACTACGTAAGCAGACATCACCACGAACCCTATCATAAGCCTACCTGGCCGACGGACTAACGATTCTCGCGCCCCCTTAGATTCCGACCGTTTTTGAGAACTACGTAACAGATTGCAGAGTTGACGGCAAGTCGGTACAATTAGCATTATGGGATACGGCTGGTCAGGAAGACTACGAGCGATTGCGACCGCTCGCATACTCGAAGGCGCATGTGCTACTAATAGGGTTCTCGATCGAGTCGCCTGATTCTCTTGATAACGTGAAGCACAAGGTTGGACAACCCCCCGCCTCTACTCAACTCACGTTCCACACTACGAGCAATAAGAGACAACGGAACAATCCTGGCTAACAGCAGAAATAGTGGGTAGAAGAAGCGACAGAACGATGCCCCGGCGTCCCTGTCATCTTAGTAGGACTAAAGAAGGATCTACGAGACGACCCGGTAGCGATCGAGGAGATGCGCAAGAAAAGCCTAAAATTCGTGACGGAGCGACAAGGCGAGCAAGCCGCGCAGGAAATCGGCGCGCGCAAGTATCTCGAGTGTTCGAGTTTGAGCGGAGAGGGCGTCGACGACGTGTTTGAGGCCGCCACCCGCGCCGCTCTCCTCACCTTCGAAAAGGGCGAAGGCGGCGGATGCTGCGTCATATTATAAGGCGGCGCAGCGCAGTACGGCACGGCACGGCATGGCATGGCACGGTACGAACTCGACGCGACTTGTAGAATGGGCCACGGGAATCGACACACGAACACGAGCAGGAAATGTCCCCGGGGAACAGATTTAAACCAAAAATGGGTGTTCACTTAGTGGAGTTTGGCTTAACTAGGCGGAATTGAATATCTATTCCGAAATACTATTTTCCTTTTGTTTTGCCTTTGTTGGAATATTACAAGAGGAGGCCGCAGAAGAGAAAGAGGAGCAGATGAGGCGGAGGAGGAGGCGCTCGGATTATGCGTGCCGGAGGAAGCAATTGGGAATTGGGATTCATAACAGCCATCAATCTACCTCGAACGAGACGAGCTCTTGTCAGGGCCTACAAACTACGTACCCAGCATCACGACCAATCTATCTAACCCACCCCCCATCTATTTATCGAAATGACCAAGGAGATCTACTACTTCCAGTGCGATATATTCACCCTCGCTCACCCACAGACGAAACCGCGATGACAGACTACACCTGTATCTAGGTTGGAAACAGACTGAAATGAACTGATTAGTAAAGCCGATCCTGGAAATCCCAACGTTCTCTATCGCGAGAAGAGAAAAATAGTTATTGTTAATAAGGAGAAGCATTGAATCAGAGCATAATTTCACATCGATAATAGTTCACCTCTAACGTAAAGTGAAGCATAGGATTTCGGCGAAGCGTTCCCAACAGTTTCAAAGTGGATCTAGTATTTTACTTGCTTTTCCTCACTCCTTTCCATGCCTTCTTACCGAGGGTCGGGCCAAGGGGATCGAGCAAACATTCATTAATATAAAAAAAACCACACATCTACCTACCTCCCCAACTAGGCATGTCCATCACTGCAGCCACCGTAGGCGTTGCATCTGCATCAAAGTATATGATCGAACGATGTAATTAATTGCATCTTTCCACGTCTCTACACGCCAAGGTAAAGTGGCGATCGGATGAGAGAAAAAACAGCACACGCAGATGTGCCCGAAGCTTACGCAGCAGATATGCAGCTAATAGTTCATTGGATATGATGGTTTCTAGTCCACATAATGTCGAAGACGATTCTATGTTACACGAATTCTAGACGGGAAATTCGGATGCGGGCCGGATGAGGACTCCTCACCGGGTCCAGCCGTGATTCCAAGGCTCGCGAGCCGGTGTTTCCGTCTGTGGTCTCGCATACTCGATCGGGATGCTGTTGTGTCCGTATACACCTTTCTTTTCCATAGCCACACGATACAAGTATCCCTCGTCCCGCGTGCCAGGTCCACTAGTCTTGCGCAATTCCTCGCAGGCATTGTGCATCGATTGATACATCCTACGTATCCGATTAGTAAAACGTATTATCACAACACAGTATCAAGAAAAATGTATGCGAGGTTAGACGTACCGCTCCAGCTCATGCGCCTTCCTATCCCGCTCCTTGCGCTGGTACAATAACCAAGCGCGATGAATAGTCCAGTGACGCAGCGCACGGTTTCGCGCGAATCTCAGAGGGGCGGGAACGGCACGGGGCATTGAAGCTTTCAGGTTCATGATTCTGGGATCGGGGCCCTCGCCCTTCCCTCCCTTGCGCTTCTTCTTCCCAGAGCCTTTGCCACCAGAACCTTTGCCACCAGAACCTTTAGCACTGGAACCTTTTCCGCCACCGATCCTCGCATTCCGAGGAGGAGTCGTATGTATCTGCCGAGAAGCAGGTGTGGAGAAGAAAGGCGATGAACATGCTGCTACAGCCGTCGCGGCAACAGTCCGACTTGAGGATGGGCCATGGAAAAGACTGGAGAGAGGAGTAGTCGATGGAAGCCTCGTGAAGAGGCCGCGGAAGGTAGGTGTGAACATCGTGCTTAAGCCTGCGTATCAGGTATCTTTATAATCGTCGCTATGTCCCCTCGTCCAAACCTATGGTCTTTGATCACGGCTCGTCGTTGCTACTTCTCGCTTCGTCGGTTACCCGTTTCCGCCGCAACTCAAGGCCGCGAGTAACTACCTAGCTGATAGCTCGAGCGCAACCTTGAACCTAACCCTCGATATCTCTCGTTTACCCTCGACTAGTTCTGATTCTACTCCTCACGGCTGTTTTCGTTCCTGGGATTTCGGCTCTCCTCCAACGTTATAAGCCTTCCTGTTTTCGCCAGATACGTGCTCCTCGTGCTTCTACACCAAAGCCTCCAATGTCTCCGGGGATAATCGGGTCGAGAATAGCTCTTGGTGGGTTGCTTTAATTGATCAATTGCAAGAAAAAAGAATAATGTGGATCAACGATTTTCCAAGCTACTGGATGCCGTGGATGGAGCTAAGTGGGGGCCCCTGCACAGATGGGTGTGGATATATATAGCATGTCACGTGGCTCCCTATTTGTAGAAAGGGGCACTTGGATGCACATGCTAAAGACATTCATGCCTTGTCTCACAAACATTACATGATATCTTTTCTGCCAAGTTAATGATATCTCTATCTAAGCGTGCAAATTCAAGAAACAAAACCCGCAATGTCTAGCATTATTAAGGTCTAGAACCCCTATCCTTAGAGTGTATATATACCCTTCCGAACCCTTATATTCTCTCAGCAGCCTCAAAGTTGCTGTCGTTTTGAAGTAATCTACTACGGTGTCCCTCACATAGAGCCATTTTGTCTTTGGCAAATCGGATCTGTCGGATCTGCTGTCTTTCTGTGCTATTAGGGGTATGTTTCCAAATGCCATATACATCTTTGTTAGCTGCGTCTGTGCGAGAGATAGCGTCGACCTTGTATTTGTAATCTTGTAACTCCGTGTCGAATATAAATGTGACGTAATTCTATTACTATTTCCTGAACGAGGTTAGTACGGGACATAATAAAATATCAGGAGAAAGGACATACTATTGAACGGGTTCGCTATCGTCTCAGTTATTGTAGAGTTTGACCTTGAAGATGGCACCTTGTCCGGACCATCGCTGCACTATCGCGATGGCTCGAACGAAGTTCACACTGGCATGTAGGAAATATCTGCTCGAAGATGTTGGCGATGGCGATAAAGGAGTTCAGATTAGTGGAGAAGCTCCGAGTACTCGTCGGTAATATATATATATATAAGGGATTATCTTATTTGCCATTTATGAGCTCCAAACAGGGTCAGACGTGTCTCAATAGTAGGATTCGAGGAGTATCGGGGTGGTGGTGTGTTGTAGCCATGCACAGACCTTAGAGCCTTAGGATTGTTGTATAGAGGGGCGCAAGTCGAGTCATTCCGAGATGGAAGCAATGTAGTCACTGACGTGTTTTTTTGGAATAGCCATGGTATAGAGAAAATAGAATAGAAGAAAGCTGGTGAGCTGTCTTTAATGATGAATAGCATAGTCACGATGGTTGACATGATGACAATAGTTAATAAAGGGGGGGTTGTTTATCGTTGTCTTGCCCCATCCGCTTGAACTTCCATTCAACGCAATGTAGGGACATTTTTTCAACTTGTCCAATATATTGAGGTTAGGGAAAGCCGGGAGTGTTATACGGCCATATTGGACTTCATGTTGCCGTTGTAGAACAAGATGCTGGGCCCACCCCCACCCCAGATCCTCGTGTTGGCGGTGATTATAGAGTAGACCCTTAAAGGACACTCTGGCGCGGTAGAGTCTGTCCAGGCATTGTCATGAATCTCTTTAGTAGGTCGTTATGTTATGAGCTTGTTATGACCGTCTGATGGTTGTCATTTCGTTTTCGGTTTTGCTCTCTGTAGTGATAAAGTTTGAAACGAGAAACGCAACAGCGAACCATTTCTGAGATACTCTTCCGGTTGTATAATTACTTGTGAGTTTAGAAAGGAGTGATTAAAGGCTGTATTTATAGGGGGCCAGCCCTGTTTTTTTGACAAATGAGAACGAATATTTCGTTTCTCATTCTTCATAGCAGCACCCCTGGCTCTTCCGTTGACCAGGATTTGACATATACCGGCCGTAGCTGTTTACTCTCCCCCGAGCGCCGTTTATTTATGGACACGTCGGGGGGAGGAGGCCTTCGTCCGCGTATCATTGGGGTGCCAGCTATCTGTGAATATAAGGTTAGAAAAAATTTCGAAGAGAGTAGTTTACCTAATGTTAGGTTATAGGGAGTTGAATGCTAATTGACGGGCGGTGTTAGATACATACCTTATTAGACTAGGCTGTAGTGTTGCGCTTAGAAGGGAGGGTTACCTCTATAGCCCCTATGTTTCTTAGTATTGATAACTATTAGTTTTGAAGGTGTAGAAGAAGCAAATACCTTGTTTAGCTTTTGCTATAATACATACGACGTGTTGTAGTATAAAGCTTAGAATATTAACACACCAGTTATTGTTGTTGGTGTTGATGATATTATTTAGTGGAATTGCTATGTGATAGTTCGGTAAAAATAAATGAAGAGGTTATGTAGTTGACAATGATAATTGTTTGGTAAAAGGGGTAGAGGTATGCGTTCTTGGAAGTCATTTTGTTCTCGGATTTTAGGTGGTTGTTAGATGTTATTGTGTTAGAATAAGTATTTAGTTTAGGATAAGAGAGGATGTGAATGTGAATATGTTAACAGTTAAAGATGGTGGAAAGAAAAGAAGAATTCTCGGGGAAGAGGGGAAGAGGCCGTGTTTAAATATCTATTTTGGAATATTTTGCCTGACGCTAAGTTGGCGGTAAGCCGGCGGTAAGTCATGAGCCGAAGTTACGTTTGGCAGTCGCTACGTAAAGGAAGGTACGTAGGTAGATATTTCGATGACAGTTGTGTGTACCTTCCGGCACGGCAGGAGCATTAGAGACTTATTACATGTACCTAGTCAACATGATCGCAACATTAAATTAGTCTAGTGCACGGAAGTTACGAGGCAACTTAAAGTGTCGTACACTTGTCGTACACTTGTTGTATTGATATTGTTACTACCTTCCTAAGAGTTACTTCACTATTGGCGCCTTCCTGATGTCTCTAGGTACGTAGGTACCTATGTCTGCCAAATTTTTAGTCTTTCCGTACTTTCCTTTTTTTCATTTCTACGGAAGTCAAAGGGATACTACGTCCAAATAAGATATTATCCTAGTGGGTGCCGGCGATTAACCAAATTAAAAAAAAAAAACCATTTCCACGCCGTACTTATGTGCATCAAATTAATGTCTCTATGCCAATTGCTTTATTTTGTTGCTATTCTATTAGTACTTTAGCTATCACTGCATAAAACCTCCGCCTGAGAGACCTTTTACCGAACAATCATCGTTCATACGGGATTTAGGTTCCTAGTAAACAACAGGCCTCACGTACGCCTTAGTTTCCTTCATCCAATATCCTCGCACGTATTTTGCTTCTCTTTTAAGGGGAATGCTAATAGTTTCTACTGCTCTCAGAATGGTAACCCAAACAGAAGCCGAAAACTTTAACCGGACAATCGTAAAGATATTATCCACTTTCTCGGAAAGGGATTAGAAACTCCTAGAGGAACTGGTAGAGATTCCGAAAAGAGTTACCAAGGTCGGCGGTAGTAATCTAGAGCACTACTTGGTCATTTTGCGAGAAGTATTCGACGTGCTATCTAAATACATCCCTGAGCTGCAGGGCCAAGTTCTTACCCAAGACACTCAACGACTCCTGGCATCAGGGGCTACAATTAAGTCCGAAACCGTAGAGCAGCTCAGAAATTGCTTGCTCAATGCACCTCAATATGCAAAAGCGTCGGGACACAAGGAGGCACCCCCGATCCCACCCAAGAAGGATAGCAAGCCTAAGCTTGAGATTGAAGATGTAGGCGAAGGCGATACTCGTCGCTGCACTACCTTTGAGAACGAAGTCGTAGAATCATTTATCAACCTTTTCCTGGCTCTTGACGAATCTCCACCTGCGACACCTCCTCGACCAGACCTACGCACAAGAGCGGTTCGTCCTTCCCAAGGCTCCTCTTCCCAGCGCCCAAAGAAAACTCCCCCACCCAGTCCACACCAGTCGCCTAAGGGCAAGGAAAAGATGTCACAGGAGCAAAGTACAAAAGACCCTTAGATGTACAATGGTATATGACTTGGAAGACTTCCACATTGAAAGACCCTGAGATGGCGATTGGCTTTGAGCGTTTGCGTTTCTATGTTCACAGTAGATTAGTGTAAAGGTTTCGATTATGTCTTTTCAGTCAGTAATAGTCCTCCAAAGCGGATAATCAAATCAATATGCTCTTTGCCACACTGCCCATGCTTGCTCCTAGTTAATGGGTAATCATTCGATTCCCTTTAGACTATAATTCAACTAGTTAATAAAGGTTAACTAGAACACTATAAGATCCTACTAGATGACCTCATAAGTGCCATGGTCCTGAGATAGTCGTTGGGAATCCTAGAGTCAACTTATATCTGTATGAAGATTAACATCACTTAGATACGTTAATATCGACTTCCTTGGATTATGCCTTCACCTACGCTGCGAGACAATTATGAAATGGGGGTATAAGACTTTTTTGGTGCTACCTTGGTGGTAGCTTTGTCTCGTAGTTAATTTTTGGTCATTTCTCTAGGACTTTAGAAAAGCCCCTATTCTGTTCATCTAGTATCACGTAATCATGTCAAGCAAATCTGGTGCTATCCGTTCTCGATGACCTAACCCGATGATCCTTTGGAGTTATATCCTCATATTTCCGTGATATTAATTGGACAAAGCATTATGATGCTTTACACAAGTACTAGGCATCGTGCAAGGTTGACGTTCCCTTGAGATATCTTAAACCCTCTAATTAAATATCCTATATTACTAAAAGAGGTAGTATGTACACTATCGGGATATCCAAGTATCCAGTTCTAAATAAAGTCTGCCGAGGTTCATCCGAATAGGTCAGTACATGTAAGCAAACGTCGTTTTATCGCGGCCTCTTATTGTGACGTAAGTTCCTTCGCCGCAAGATACTAAACATGGATCAGCCAGTGCAAAGAAATTCCTCAACGGGGCATACGAGGAATAAATCAGGAGCGAGGCGTGAGTAAACCTTCGGTTATATATGTCTCTTTAATTTCCAATCGAAATCAGATAATCGCTAGAATCAATGCATTTGGAGATCGCAAAGGATGATAGGCTATTATCGTACCTGCGATTCCTCTCGTAAAGGGGGGAGATAGCAACATTGATTGACTGCAAGTGCATCTATCCTATAGGAATACGTTAACCCCACGCTACATCAATGTTCCCTTCTGTCATTATCATGTTTTCTATCTCTTCATAGCAATGTAAATCAAAAGATGGCTTTTGCTAACATATTTCAATCTATAGCTTCTCGGCCTAGATCATCAACTAAGGGGCCACTCGATGCAGATGAGTAAGCATCGGTGATCATTAACAGTTACATGATATCTGCTTACACTGAGACCCTAGAGCTCCTGTAGCGTCTCCCATCGCGTCTCAGGCCAGCCGCTTCAGTAACAGCCAACAGGCTAGTCCACGAAGTCTCTCCCGGGGATTTTCTCCGGCTTCTAGGTCTCCGGCTCCGTCTATCGCGCCGGTGACATCTAAGGACTTCTCATTCCTTCTAAGACCCGAGATCTACCATCAGCTCTCACCCTTATCCATCCCAGCCCCTTTTCGCCATCCTTCTAGGCAGCCCGCGCCAGAAACGCCCATCCCGGAACTGCTTAACAATGGGCACTTCCGCGCGGCCGCCATCGCTGCCGTCCAAGCACTAACCAGCAGTCCCGTCTCCGTTGTCGCTGCAGCCGCGCATCCGCCCGTTAACCCCACCGACCACGCGCGCATCTTCGAGCTGCTATACACACGACTGGCGTGTTTGTGTCTCATAGACGCCACCTCGTTCGCCGCCCAGGAGTCCAAGGCTCTCGAGGACCTTAATTCGGCCTTCTACCTGGATCCCCTGTCCGGCGCGCACCTGGTGCCCTGGGAACTGCGCATCCTCGGCGTGCGCCTGCAGGCTATTGGTTTCGGCGATCCCCGACGTGCTGTCATGAGTTACTATGAATTAGCAAGGGAAGCGCGTATGCAAATTGCTAAGGCGGGAAAGGCGCATGATCATTCCGCTTCTGAGCTTTGGAAGCATCGGCTTGCGGAGCTTGGGTTTAAGGTCGCGGGCACGTTGATCGAGATGGACGATCTGGCGGGTGCGGCGGAGCATCTTGCTACGCTAAGTGATAGCAACCAACACTTTAAGATTGGTGGTAATGGACGGCTGGCTATGAGCCAGGCTTTATTGTGGCTGCACTTGGGTGATGTTGAAGCAGCGCGGCGATGTGTAAGAGATGGTAAGGGTGGGGAGATGGGAGAGCGTGTTGTGGATGCGCTCGCTGACATGGCGGACGGTGAGTATAAGGCCGCGCTAGAGAAGTGGCAGGTGTTGAAGGGCACAATGGAGGAGAACGACGTACATGATGAGATGGTCGGGGTTAATCTTGCTGTGTGCCAGCTTTACACTGGAAACATGACTGAGGTAAGTTCTTAATCGGTGTAAAGTTGTCTCGGTGCTAACAATTACTTAGGCAAGGGATACCTTGGAAGGTCTGGTGGATGCGGGTTCGACATCTCACACATTGCTATTCAATCTAACTACGATGTACGAACTCTGTACCGACAGACATAAAAACCTCAAGCTCAGACTCGCAGAGCGGGTGGCTTCCAAACAGCCTACACCGTTAGGATGGGAGAAGACGAACGCAGATTTTAAGCTATAGAACAAGTACACATAGTCTAATTAACTCGGGTTGGTTGTTATATTTTCGGGGGGTCGTTTCATCGGTTTACATTTGAGCATGATAGACAGTGAAGAATAATAAATCAATGCTATATGCTATATCTACCTGGTTGAGTTGTTTCGCATCGCGAGCACTTTCCAAGGCTTTTCTGATATTTATGGTTGTGAGTCTTTAATACCTATGCTAGAGACCTATTCAATGCGGCGCATCCTTTATCCCCTGAACATTTACGCACTCGTCTAGATACCTACATCTTTCTATAGCTACCTAAGTTACCTCCCCACACCATTGTGAGATGTTTGTGTCAGCCTTGAGTAGCACATACTTCGTCCGACCATAAGTTGGTCTCTAATCTGTTTCACTTTTCAACAACCTTCTTCTTCTTCGCCACGGTACTTTATCTAGGTACTCTTCTAGGCCTCTTAAGACGTGCGCTTATCTCCCTGTTCTGCAAGTCGCTTAGCATACTTTTTCTGGCTTTCCTCCCAAGCAGCTTCGCCAACTCGTCTCCAATTATCTACGACGAATTCCCTAACTTTATCCTCGTTGTAAAACCCATCAGGGTCGCGCAGCGTCGATGGCGGACGTACACCTAGACTGTAGTCATCCTGCATGACTATTTTCTTTAGAGAGCTAGCCGCCAAGCTACGCAGGTGTCTTTTGTTATGTTCTTCTTCACCTTCTTGCCACTCCGGTATGGACGCCTTGATAACTCCCCGCCAAAGCGTATGTCGCTGCTGCTCTTTGCGCCACTCGAGGAGTCGGTTTGCGTAGACTTGTCGCGTGCCGGGGAACTGCTCGAAGGCATCCTCACGTACTGTGTCCCGGGTTGAAATGGGCGTGGTAAAGCGTCCTGCTTCGCGACATGCGGGAATGAACTCATCGTACCACTTTCGAAAAGCCGCACGCCCTTTCATACGGCGGCGGTCATTAGCCTTCAACTTGCTCCTGTCAAAGTCACCCCCGTCGGCTTCTGTCGCGCTATCATCTTGCTCGGGCCGCACCCAGAACAATCGACACGTGGCCGCATACTCCATAAGCTCCTCGACCGACGCAAACGGCCGCTCCCATTGGGTACTATCGTACTTGAGGCCTAGAAAACTAAGAATCTCCGTAGGATCACTACTAAGGAGGACTTTAGATTGCTTTTTGTTTAAATTTTCGATTTCGGGAATGCGTATGTATAAGCCGACCTCGTCAACTGTGAGGCCATACGGGCGGATGGTGCTTCCGAGTATATTCCAAAGGTCACCATGGGCCTGTTTGAGTAACATCCATTGCAGGTGCTCTACGGAGTTGCATAGATGGAGGTCGACTTGGATATAGCGAGGCACATCGCTACTCGTTCCCTCCTGAGGTAAGTCATTCGGCCACGGGATAGCTAAGTTAATAGCATTCGGTTGTTCTCTGATAGAACGTTCGGCGCCAAGAAGGAAAGCAGCAACCTTGAGGGGATCCTCAGTCGGCGGCGAGAGTGAGGTGCTGCAAGCCCCAGAAGACGGAAATGCAGCAATTTTTTCCAATGCTACGAGTATATCGATATCGCCGTGGTCCTTCTTTGCAGGGCCTTCAATGGGAGTGGCGACTACGATGAAGAGCTCTCGAAGCTTGGCATGGCATGTACTGAGAACATGTTGGTATACTCTGGGAGACATCCGTGGAGTGAAAAGCGGATTGCTTCCAGATGAGAATGCGGAGCCGCCCATGATGGCAGGTATTTATTAGTCGTTATTAAGAATTTGGTATTGGGGAAGTAGCTGTCTGGTCGTAGTGCAGCAAGTATAACTCGAAATACTAGGAATTGTATGATGAGGAGAAGGAATAGATTGATATTAAGAGGGGGTGGCTAAGTTGGAATACCTCAACTCTAGATTCATGGTTGAAATGGCTGTTGTAGAAGTCGCGGTAGGAGAAACGGCTGTAGGTATGGTTCAAATAGTAAGAGTAAGAGCAATGATATATGTGAATAATGACTGACTGGATTTTGAATGTATGCGAAAAAGATGAATGAATCGCATCTGAGTTGCAAACAGCACACATTGTCTAGGATACTTCCTGCATATTGAAATGAATATGTCATGAACGCACGGACCATGATTGTCTATATGATTTATGATTTATCAGTTGCGACTGCGCAATGATGATCTGGCGTCTAACCCGGGGTATTCATCTTTATATAACAATATCATGACTTCATTAGATATTAATTTGGTCCCAATATAGTCACTTGTTCGTGGTTGACGTATAGGAGCCAAAGTCTCCAGGGTCACTCCGATGACTCAAAGGCGTGACTCAACGTAGCTTTGTTGTAACAGATTGACATAGCTTTTAAATGTCCAACCCAATCTAGCATACTAGATACCTAAACTATTGATATCAAGATTGAAGTTGCAATAGCTTCCTTGTATATACCAGGACAGGGTAGCTCATTCGTCTCTGGTATACTTGGAGCCCTGTCGCCATTTAGATCCATACCTCAGAACCAATACTGGGATCGGTGCGAGAAGGAAGCTTGCCGCTCCTAGAATTGACAAGCCTATCCCATACCCAAACCTATCGACGAGAGGCGCAGCAGCTAATGGTAGGAATGTGCCTGCTAAGCACCTTGTGACAATCACCGCGGTCATAGCAGAGGCGGCGTACAACCCAAAAGCGTCTACAACATACGCATAGAGCGGAAGGAATCCTAGCATGAGGGTAACGCCCATAATTGCAACCGAGAGGAGTAGTACTAGAATTGGAACGTGTAATTGTGCACTCCATCCGTACCATACGGCGACCAGAGGTAGGGTAAACCCTCCGACGATAACTAAGGGCAGACGGTATTCCGGTTGGCCAACCCCCTTATGAGAGTCACGGAGTTTGATGTAGATTCTGTCTAGAGTTTGGTTGCATAGTACCACGCTTAAAGCTGAACCAATACCTGCACGTATGTTAGCATAGCGTACTTTGACAAGAGAAATACTTCTAGGAATAAAAAAACTTACTGAAGCTAATAAGCGCGGATCCAGCACCCGCAGGTGACAACCCGTATATGGTCCCAAGGATGTCCGGGAGAGTAGTGACTAAGATGTAAAAGTATGTGAAAGTGATAGAACCAAACAGCGATAGCATCTGCAAGACGCCCGAGCCCGCTAACACCGTAAAGGGGCGGATGATTGCACCCCACAATTTCTCGGATCTTGAGCCATCATCCGCATCAAACACAGTTCGTAACGCTGCGTTACCAGTTTCAAGCCGGAGTCTCGCTGCCTTTCGTCTTAAAATTGCGACTTTATATGTTTCACGGAAACACGTAAGAAACACTACTTCGCATGTAGCAGCCAGTATCACACACATCCACATTGTGCTCCGCCAACCCATGGTTTCGGCGATAGCCCCGCTGATCGCAGGCCCGACCGCTCCGCCGATTAGCGGTGCAAGTTGGATCAAACTCATGGCTGAGCCTCTCTGCTCTGATATGAATATATCGCCAACGATAGCGGGGTTTAGCACATTTGATGCCACGGCGAGACCCGTCAGAGTTCTCGCAGCAATGAACAGCGTCGTGCTCTGGGATAACGCTGCCAGAACCGTCGCTGTAATGAACAGGACGTTGGCAACGTTCATGACAGGGTACCGACCGAAGACTTCTGATAACGGCGCGATAAGCAAGGGCCCGGCAGCTTCACCAAGCTCCCAAATGGTTACCAGCAACACGCTAGCAGATTTGCTAGAGTGGCCATGGTCAAGATCATCCACTATACGCGTTGCGACAGGCACGACGGATATACATGTGAATGTTCTGCCGCGACAGTCAGTTTCATGAGAGTTTTGATGGATCAATTGGTGATACACGTACACTGTGAAAGCCATCAAAGCCAAAAGAGCCACAATCGCCCATTTATACACCTGTGGCCATTCAAGGGGATTCTCCTCATCTCCATCTGGATGAAAATCCACAATGTCCTTAATCGATGCTTGATCTGGCCTCTCGTTAAACACCAGATGCGCATCCTGCAGTAAAGGCTGAGTTTCATCCATAGTGAATCCCACGCTTTACAGGCAGTCGTGGTGGTCTGTGAGAGTTTAAGTTGAGGAAAAGGGGAGATTGAGACAAATGCAATATACGAGTTTCGGTGAGCGACGGGCCGTTCCGTAATATACATAGTCGGCCTGTCGGCGAAATATTTGGCTATACGAAGTACGAAGGTCCGGGCCAAAAGTCTTGCACATGTGGAAGGCCCTAGCACCGTATTCGAACGTTATCCTTTTCTATTAACACTGTATCAGCTACCTGCTAAGCTGAAATTTGGATAGTGGCCCATACGCTAAATTTGGGTGGCTTACCACTATATTTATAGCAACATCAGCCACTATAGCTGAAGTAATACCGTGCGGTCCTTTTTTTACTTACACATGGCTTGCCAAGACCAGATGTGCAAGACTTTTGGCCCGGACCTTCGTACATGTTGATATCCACTACGCGCCCTTTCGGTTGACGACATTAGACAAGGTCGATTGCGAAAGTGGAGTAATGCATGTATCCGTCTTGCCAAGCGTGCGTAACGCCTCTATCGTAAACCGGGAGCCGAAAGACAATTGCAAGAGGTTATGATCAACTCTCTTATATTTTATTAGTACTGCCACAATTTTTTGGACCAATCAGATCCTTAGAATCGCCCCGCAGTTGGCGACTTTTTCCTTTGCCATTCTATCGCATATTTGAAACATATGCAAATAAGATAAAAAGGTTATGCAAAACGAGCTTTATTTAATAATACTAATTATTAAAAAATTTATATAATAATATAATAAGTCAATTGATTTTACAAAAAATTCATCGTACGTGCGCTAAGGTGTGGCTAACCAATCAAAAAGGCCAAACTTATATGTGGCGTAAAAAGCACTCCTAAAGCTAGGCACTCCCCGTAAACGCCTGCGCGAACGGGTAACGCAGCTAATACATGTAAGTCTTTTTAAGTTTAAGTAATCATTTCTACCCTGTAATAAGTTTAGCTTTTTCATACGTACTAAATAAACAATATCTATTAAAAGTGAAAAAACATATAATCCGTTAAGGTATGTACTGTACGAGCATCATAGCGTTAATTAAGTTTATAAGACGATTTAACTAATTAAATGTAAACCCGTCTTATAAGTGCGATCGCCTACAGTAAAGACTCAACCCCGTACGCACGCCTCCTATTCCCCCTTCCCTTCCCCCCGATATAAGCAATATTATCATCTTCTCTATCCAATTGAATACCACCGGCTTCTAAGGAAATATCTAGCTTCATTCATTATACGGAGGTTTCGTTACTCTGCAAATTATCAACATCTCCAAACTCAGTGTGGTGGTCATTTAGGTTAACAGAGTTTCTTGAGCGAAACGCCACAACAACAGGGTCTCCTGAAAGCTTGAACATAATTTTGGGCCTCAATATACATATACGGCCTCGTCGTCTTTTAAGATACCCTCCAATCGTGCGGTATGCCAAAAATACGTTTACGGCCCTATTTAAAATGTTAAACCGATATATAAGAATATAAAAAAACATAAAGCTTACATGAGAACTGTCCATGATAACGTAGCCCACCAGTAGTATGCCAGTCGAAACTGCTGACGAGGAATACAAAAACCTAGTCGTAGCATCATGCCAACGGAGACACAAGTTACGAGCATATCGAGGCATATACGTGTTACCGAAGGAATCTCAGGCAGACTTCCGCAATCCATATCAATTGCTTGCATCAATGCCCAGAATAGCTCGACACTGGCCTGCTGCTGGTTAAAGCCTCTGTCCCTTATAGAAGGAGATAAACATACTAAGGCGAGACCATAGTCGTGGTCCGGATAATCCAAATAATACGACAAGATTAAAGCTAACAGCGATAGTAATATGCGAACTACTGTAACAAAGGCTGTAAAGGGTTTAAAATATAATTAAGATTACTAATAATTTTCTAAGGTTTTAAAGTCTTTAGTTTTTCCCTTTTTTCCAAAAGGAAATTTTAATTTATTTATAAATAATTTAAAGTATATATTTTTTAGTTTAATTAAATTTTTATTAATATATTGGTTTTATTTATATATAATTATATAATTTTATAATATTTTTTATTTAATAAATTTTAAAATAGTTATTTTATATTTTTTATTAATTGTTTTTTTTAATTAATAATCTTTTGGTATTATTATTTATATAATACCATTTTTTTTCCTTTAAGTTTATTTTTAAGTTAAAGTTTTAAATAAAAAATATAATTTTTTTTAATAAAGTTTAAAAATTTATTAGCTTTTTTAAGTTTTATTAATAAAATGTTAAAATTGTTTATTTAATATTTTTATTATTAAAATAATTAAAAGATTTTTAAATTTAATATTTTTTAATTAATTAATTTTTTTATTTAATTAAATATTTTATATTTTTTTAAATTTATATAAAATTTTTAATTTTATTTATATAATATTTTTTAAATTTTATTAAAGTTATTTTTTATAAAATTTAATTAAAATTAAATAATGTTTAATTATTAATGCGGTAAAATTTAATAAATAAAACGTAAAATAAATTATAGATTTTTTACTTTTTAAATAAATAAAATTTAATAATAATAAAAAAAATTATTTTTTAAATTTTAAAAAAGTTTAATATTTTTTTATTTAATTTTTTAATAAATTATTTAATTTTAATATTTTTATTATTTAATATAATTAATTAATTTTTTTTAAACTTTAATATTTTTTTTTTATTAGTTTAATCTTTTATATATTAATAATTTTTTTTTAAATATTGTTATATTTCGGTATAAATTTACTTTATTTAATATATATATAATTAATTGTTTAAATTTCGAAAAATATTAATAAATAAATTATAAGTTATAAAATAAAAGTTATAATTTATATAAAATAATATTATATATAATAATATTAATTTTAAATTATTATATATAAATTTTATTATTAATAATAAATTTTTTTAATTAATTATTTTATAATTAACGAATATTTAAAAGTAAATTTTAAAAATTTAATTAAGTTATTTTATTTAATTATTGGTTTAAAAATAAAAAGTTATATTTATTTATAATTTAATATTTATAAATTTAAAAAAAATTTATTATAAATAAATAATAAATTTAAAGTTTTGGTTAAAAATAATATTTAAAGAAATTTTATATAATTTTTAATAAAATTTAATAAAGATTTTAATTAAATTTATAATTTTTTTTTTTTATTTTAAAAGGTATAAAATGTGTTATTTTAATAAATAAGTTAATTATAATTTAAATAAAATTGTAATTATTAAATAAAAATAAATTAATAATAAAATTTATAATAATAATATATTATAATATATAATGTAATTTTATAAGTTAAAATAAATTATATAAAATATATTAGTTTATTTTATTGCGTTAATATTTTAAATATTTTTTTATAAAGTTTTATATAATAGTTTTAATATTAAATTATTAAAAGTTTTATATAATAAATTTTAAAATTTTATTTATTTTTATATATTTTGTTATTAAAATATTATGTTTTAATTTTATAACCTTTTTTTAAAGTGTTTAAAGTATTTATAAATATTTCTTTTTATATAAAAAATTATTTTATAGTTTAAAATTATTGCTTGGATTATTTTTTTTTTATATATAATAGGTTATTTCTTTTTATTTTTTTAATTTGTTTTATAAATTTAAGTAATTATTTTAAAGTTAAAAAGTTGTTTAAACGATTTAATATAAAAATAATTGCTGTTAAGTGTATTATATTAAAATTAAATAAATGTAAAAAATGTTTTTTTTATAATATTAATATAATTGGTTAATATTTAATTTCCTTTTTTTAAACCGATATTATAGTAATTTAAATAAAATATTAATTTTTTTATTTTATTTTTTAAAGTAATAATTAATAATAAATTAATATAATAAAAATTATTATGTTTATTTTATTTATTTTTTATTTAAAACTTTAATAATTATAAAATAAAATAAATTTTAATAATTAAAAAATATTTTAATTTAATATTATATTTTTTTAAAATAGTATTTTTATTAATTAAAAAAGTCGATAATTATAAATAATTTTTTATTATATATTTTATAATTTATTTTTATTAAAGTTAATTTTTGAAAATAAAAGGTTATAAGTTAAAACTTTATTTTTATATTTTTTAAAAAAAAAATAGTTTCGATAGTAAAGTTTAAAGTATTAACTTTAAAAAAAACTTATAATTTAAAATTAAAATAAATAAAAATTAAGGTTAATATAAATTTAACTTTTAAATTTTTAAAAATTTTATTTATTTTTAATATTTATTTTTAATTTTTTTTATTTTTTTTATTAATTTTTATAATAAATTTAATTATTATTAAAAATCTTTTAATAAATTGTTTATAAAAGTTTATAAAATTTATAAATTATTATAATTTTTTAAAATTAATTAACGGTTTTTATTTTATAATGTATTTAATTTTATTTTTAAATATAAAAATGTTTTAAAAGTTAATAATATAATTTAAAAATTTTACTTTTTAAATTACTTATTTATACTTATGTGGGGTAATTGTAAAATGGTATATAATAAGTTTTTTTAAAACTTTTTTAATTATTTTATTATACTTTTTTTAAATGGTAATATATATAAGTAAATTATTAATATATATTAATAATTTATTATTTATTATATTTTTAAAAATATTATTTATTATAAATTAAAAAGTGGCAAGTATATTATTTAATTTAAAAAGTATGATAAAATATTTATAAAATTTATATTTATATTTAAATATTATTTTTTATTTATTATTTTGTTAAATGTGGATTAAATTAAATTTAATTTTTAAATTTATTTTAATAAATTATTATAAAATTTAAAATTAATTTTATATTTTTAATATAAATGGAATAAAATAGCGTATAAATATTATTATTAATGGTTATATAATGATTAAAAAAAAAGCCTTTTCCTTATAATAAAAGAAAAAAATATGTATATAAATAAACTATATTTTTAATATAACTTTATAAATAATTTCTCTTTTTTAAATATTATTAATATATTAATTTTAATATTATTATTATTTTAATTATTTTATTTATTGTTTTATTGTTTTATTATATGTATATACTTATTAATATTAATTAATATTGTTAAATAATAATAATATAAATTAATAAAGTTAAAAGAATTATTACTATAATAATCCAGAAAATTTTATTATAATAATATACGTAACAATAATATTTAATCTTTTATTAAAATATTTTATTTTATTTATAATAAATTATTATTTTATATAATTACGCAATTTTTTTAAATTTTTATTATTATATTATAATTTAAACTTATTATTTTCCGCATTTTTATCTTTTATATAACTTACATATTTTAAAATATTATAACCAAAAAGTTTAACACAAACATAAATTTACGTTATAATAATTAATTTAATTAAAATAAAAAATATAAATAAATTAAGAAATTTATTATTTTTTATTTTTAGTTAATATATATTTTTTATATAATAATTTAATTATATAGCCATAAAATAAAAATTAATTAATCTTTAAATAATTATTTTTAAATAAAAGGCAATTTAAGTATTAATAATATTAATAAATTTTAAAATTATTAATAAAAATAAATTATATATTTATACAATTAAAAAAATAATAAATAAATATTAAAAATATTTTAAAAATTTTATAATAAATAATTTTAAAATTATATTAAAATAATTGCAATTAATATTATAAAACGCGTTAATATAAAAAGGTATTTATATAAAAAAATATAACGTTAATTATTTAAAAATACTTATTAATTTTATAATATTAAATAAATTATTAATATAAAATTTTAATAAATTAAAAATTATTATAAAAAGATAATTTAATATATTAATATAAAAAATGTTAATATATAATATTAAAAAAAAATTAATTTATTTTAATATATAAGTATTTACGCATATATATATTATATTATAATAATAATAATTGGTAATTTTTAACTTATAAACGTTAATACATACAATAATATACATAAAATAAAATTTATTTTTATTTACCACTTTTATCAAAACATTACCATTTTACTTATAATATATATTATTTACTTTATAAATAATATTACCTTTTTTTTTTACTTTTAATAATTTATTATTAGTATTTTATATTTTACCGTTTATCCAACCATAAAAATTTATTATATAACCTTTTTTTTAATAAATATTTAAACTTTATTAAACCTTTTTCTTTTTTTTTTAATAAAGTAATTAAAATAACTTTTAAATATTAGTTAATTTCCCTTTTTTTTTAACTTTATAAAAAATAATTATATTTTTTTAAACTATTTTAAATAACGTTTATTTTTATATTTTTTTAAATATAAATTAATAAAGGTATAATTTAAAATATAATTTTAAACATAACAATAGTTTAATACGGAAAAGATAATTTAACCAATTAATTTTAGGAAATATATATAAACCTTTTAAACCGCCATTAAATGGTTTATATATAATACCGGTAATTTTATTAAACGTTAAATTAAATAGAAAAAATTAACTAATAAAAAGTTATAATTTTTTTTTTTAAATAACTTTATTATTTTTATTAATAAATAATTTATTAAAATAAACCTTTATATTTATTATTAATTAAAATAATTAAATTTATTATAATATTGTTTTAATATAAATCTTTAATAAAATATATTTTTTAATTATTATAAACTATTTTAAAAAAATTTAAAATAATAAAAATAATTATATAAATAAAATATATAATATTTTAAAAAATAAATTCCGATTTTTCTTAAACGTATATTATATAATAAAAATTTAATGAATAAAGGTCGTATATCAAATGACTTTATCTGACTTTATTTAATT